TTTTCGTACGAGACTTGTATCTTGGCGGCAATAGTAATCGACCGTTTTTTAATATTTAAATTTTATTTTATAAAAATTTAATTTATTATTATATTTTTAAAAAATATATAGTACAAAAGAGCGTAGATTACCAAAGACATGAAAAAATTACTGTCATTAAAACTGTTTCGAAGAAAATGCAACGATTTAAAAAATTAGCAGCTATTTCTTATGTGAGGACGTGACACAGGTCACAAGTCGCGATCTAGTATATCGCTCCGAAAAGTCGCAGCGATTTGTCACTGCGACTTTTTCGGAGCAGTCGCTGTTTGTCGCAGCGACACGAAAATTTCGTCGCAACCCATCTCTAGAAAAGTTAACTTAAAAAGGGAATTTTTAATCCAGTTCAAATTGTGAATATCCGGGAATACTTGGATAATTTTTAAAAAAGACTTGTCGGTTTATTAACAACACAGACTGAGCACCTTGGACCTTTTTTTTGGTTTTTTTTTGTTATTTTTTTTTTTTGTTATTTTTGTTTTTTTTTTTGTTTTTTTTTGTTTTGTTTAGAAGCTGGACAGAAGGACCTGGTTTATGAAATTATAAATGAAAAGGTGGCATTCCTAAACGGGAGGGATTTTTTTCATAAAAGTGGGAATTTTTAAGATAAGTGGAAGAAGAAATCTTACTTCAAGGTTGGCAAAACTGCTAACTACATCTAGTGATGGGCAGATCGAATCCGATCCGATTCAGTGAGCCGAATCTTTAAAAAGAGTTGACTGACCCGATTCTCAAAATATTATAGTGCGGATTACGGATCTTTTTGAAATCTGTTAAATCTGAATCCGAACCAGCCATGTCGCAGTAAAGATAGACGCGATTCCCGTCTGATCCGTGATTCAATTACTATTTATTGACAAAATTGAATCTAGCAACAGTCAGCAGCAGGGAATATCACAATAATTTGTTGTGCAATTTTCGTCTTGAATGTACTTCCTATTTAGTAGATATTTTGTTTGTATGCAAGTAATTGGTTTTAGTTGTCTCTAAAGGGAAGTATTGAAATCATTCAAAAATCACTTTTATAGATGCAGAAACAAAACAAAAATGTAAAAAATATGTTAAAAACATTCCAAATATTAATACATGTCAAAACCAAAAAAAATGAGCACTTGAAGAACTTTGTACGATATTTTTTCACCGTAGAATTAAAAAAAAAGTGTTTTTGACCGAAAAAAATTATTTAAAATATAAATTGAGCATTAGGAAATAGTTTGTTGATAATAATTTCGTTAATTAGTCAATTTTTTATTTCGAGTGTTATGTTTTTTATTTAAACAATATCGGGTTTGGATTTATACTTTCGAAATTGAATTTGATTTATTAAAATCGAATATACCAGGCTTGTTTTGAGTTTCGTACAGTTTTCTTTTAATAACACCTTGGCTCTAGCAGTAACTTGGTCTGGTTACTATTAGACGAGATAGTGACCGATTTAGGTGACCCATTTTCGCATACACGTCTCAAAGTACATAGATTTTGAGTAGAATGAAAAGAAATTTACGAGTGGCTCCTGGAGATAACATATTATTGAAAATTAGATTATTTTTTTAATAATACCGAGATCCTTGTCTTAACTTGAACTGGTTTATACCTCTTGCCTATTTAACTGTTGTCCGACATTCTCCTCATTCTTGCTTTTATTTATTTTGTCCGATTAAACTTTTATTTTAAAGAACTAGTGGTAACTTGGTCTGGTTTCTACCACTTGTTATAACTAGTGTGCCCTTAAATGTTGACCGTGGATTACAGAGTAACATAGGTTTCAAGTTTCCGCAAGAAGTTAAGACTTGCTTTCAATTTACGTCATACTTGAGTTATTTTACCTGGTATACTCGGCACTTAATTATTTATTTATTTATTTTATTTTCTCCAGTTGGGGTGTGCTTTGAATATTAAATTATTATTAAAACTAAATTGTAAATTGCGGTAATTCTTTAGTGTACTAATAACGATTAAAGTCTGTTATTGATACTATAGAATTTTTTTGTTTGACAACACCTTGACCTCTGGAATGTTTCATATCTCTATCTGAGATTGTCCGAGTCCTTTTACAAGCTACATCGAGGAGTTGCGGAGTAAAACACGTTAATAAAACTGGCGTCTGACGTCACAAGTAATAATCGCTTTTCTCTGTGGTGAGAAAATCTCCTACAAATTTGTTTATAATTGGACTAAGTAAATCTAATAGGTAAATATAATGAATATTGATATATTCACTATTCTAATTGAAGAAGGAATTAAAAGTGACGAAACGTCATAACATACGGATTTATAATGGATGAATTAGGTAGATAGATTAATGACTGAGGCAATTTATTATAAATAAAGTAAAAGTATTTGTTCATTAATAAAACGGCTTTTATATTTACTTTCGATTTAGCGGACTGTATCATTTATTATTATAACTAGTTATAAAACTTTTTATTACGCAATATTATTTACAAAAAGACAACAAAACGGTATAAAACTTATACAGATCAGTAGCGGCTCGTGGGCACTAGCGGCAGTGGGGCACACACTGGAAAGGAATCCCGGGATTCATTTTTCCCTGAAGAAAACAAGTTCTCCGCTTAATGAAAATTAAATATATTTCAGAACAAATTAAATATTACAAAATTGAAGACTAATTGCTAGGTACCGCTGCAGTTGTATACTATTTCTTATAGTTGAAGATCATTCTTTTGGATTTTTGGCTAGCGAAGTGATCGATGACCAGATTATTAAAATTTGGAATGGACTGAATAAGTTTTTTTCGATGGATAACATGGCTAACACGCACAATCTATCTTGACACATAGTGTTCCTTAAAAATGTTTTAATACGTTTTTGTGCCAAAAAACATCTTTCACTCTCCACTGTGGTCATGGGAATTGTACACAGGATAGTTAGCAGCTCCACAGATTCCGAAAATGTAATTGTCAAATTGTTCTCAAAAAACATTTGTAATAACGGTACGGCCCCATTGTGTTACACAAAGTCATCTCGGGTGTAAAGTATGGAGAGTTTCTTTTTTAAATTTTAAGCTGTTTACGTTTGGAAATAAACTACACACAGTTTTAACGTCCTCATTTGGAAAACAACCTCGGTAGTCTTTAGATTTTTCACTATCAAATAAACTTGCAATTGTTAGGTGGGTACTAAAACTAAAACGTTCATTTACCTCTGCACTACTATTGTATCACAAATTTCCTTACATATCCTTAAATTAGGAATGGGGTCCTCCTTTTCAACAAACCGTCTCTTCTTGCTTGTACTTGGACCTGATTGGGTGTTGTCGTTTAAGTTTAGTTCTTGTGGGTCTTGTTGTGATTGCGATTCTTCATGAATTAGCGTGTCTATATTATTTCTAATATTTTGAATAGCTGCTGCAAAATTTGATATGTTTATCTTAACCTTGAGAGCATCGAGCTGTCTACTCTGCAGTTGATCAAAAAGTATATCGCAATTTGGCATTATTTTGCTGAAGAAAAATAACCAGAAACTAAAATCTGTCTTTCAAAATTTATTAATAGTTTTTTATAGAATTCTGTGTTCATAATTTCTTCGAGACATTTAATCAAATCAATTTTATAAACATAAATAGTATTCACACTTCGATGTAAAATTCCATCGTGTAGGAGCATTAAAGCATACGACTCTGAAGAAAAGGTGTTTGGCAATTTAAAATCTCCCAGCGAAAAATTTCTCTTTTATATTTTCAAATTAGAAAAAAAATTTATATCTCTATTTGATAGTTTGTCAACTAAGCCTGGAATTTCCAACGCATACCTTTTTGAGATGAGCAAAATAGAATTTGGTCATCCTTACCAACAATTTGCGAAAATGTACACCATTAAATTATGTATAAGACTCAGAATTTTTTATACTCTTAAATATGCAAACAGAGATTTGAAATCCTCGAAAATTTTGTCGCATTTATAAATATTATTGATTTTTTCATCATATTTTTGATTACTTTATAACAAAAAAGTTATTTTTCTTTGTAGTTTTATTTCTTAACTATTCCAATGGTCCAACTAACGTTTTTTCGTAATCACAATAAATAAATTATTATCATGGCCCAACAAACGCGTACCTTAAGCCGAAACCGGCATCGCCTTTGTGAGGGAGCCGGTAAAGATGCCGCTGCGTACATTCGTATTTGGTCTAGGTAATCTGTGCCATGGGTACAGCACGTCACGATCAGGACAGCGCCCCGCTTGTGACGTATAATCCATCGCATGTGTTCATCTCTTGCTAAGCGATATTGTCGTTGTCCTTGTTTTTCGCATCATAATGAGAGAGAAAACAACAGAGGCACATATTTACTGTGCCCATCTTCCACTTAATTTCGAAATTCTCGGAACGTCGCTCAACGCCCGGTCGTCCAGTGTCGTGACAACGCGGTTTGCGCTGAATATTAGATAAAATAATAATAGGCATTGAGGAAAATATAAAATATGTAAGTAATTTTTTTTTTTTGGTTTATTATACTAGGGCACTTGCTCAAGTGCCCTTACGGGCAAACCGCCACTGATACAGATACAATTTCTCTTAACATTCTCGCTTCTTCACATTGCATGAACCCCCATCAAGCCTACACATAAGGTTCTTTCGTTTGCTGTTGGTGCAGTGTCCACCAGTGTAAATTACACCAGTTACACCACCTTATTTACCTTAGTTTACTTCCTTTCTTATTCCTTATATACATGTCGAGTGTAATTCACTCCTGCTAAATAGCTGGTGGAGAAAATATCCACCAGTGGACACAGAGTGTGTTCTGTGGTGGACACCACATCGCCGACAGGAAGGTTTAGTGGATTTTACACCGGGCCGAACGAAAGGTTTAGTGTACGTTGGTGTAGTTCATTCCTACACCTGTGGGACGAACGAAAGAACCTAATATGTCGTTACTAACAACAAGTGCCGCCAGTGGCTTACTAGAATATTCAACAGTATTGTTTAAATTAATTACTCACCTTGATATAAGTTGAAACAAATCCTTTGTTTCATCGTCGACTTCCAAATTTTCGTAATCTTTCGGATTATATTCGCCTGGCACTGGTAGTTCTGCTTTGTCTTCATTATCACTATCGTCACTATCGCTAAGCAAATGAGCAATTTTCGGTTCGTTTAATGTCCTTCTTCTTAAAACAGCTGTTTGTCTACCGGATACGACGTCGTCGGCGTTCATAGAATCTTTTCTTAATTCTTCGAAAATCTCTTTTTCGATTTTTGGACTCTGGAAAATAAGGTGTTGTATCTGGGAGTCTATAGAAATGGAGTTTTTAGTAATTTATTTTGAAACACAACTTAAATGCGTCTAAAATGAGATAAAACCAAATAAGAATATACAAGTAATTACTGAGAACAACAACAATATATGTATACGACTTTCAAGCATGCATTTCAAAATTAGAATAATCAAAATTGCTAAAAATAGACAGAAATTTAGAATGATAATGGAAGGGTAGTATGACATAACTTTACATATGAAAGACATATATACAGTCCTGGCAAGATCAAACCATCGGTCCTGCTTTTCTTGTGTTGAAGTGAATAGTAAATAGTTCTCGTATACGAAGGTAAAGAAACAACACAGTATCAACGTTGATAGTTTTAGGTGAGCAAAATAGGTAAGTAAGTATAGCTTAGCATCCACTTGTGACTCGACCCACAAAGCACCTATCCTCTAGAGACCCTACCCCCACGCCAATGTTAAACTTTTAAACTAAATTAGCCCCACGGTTTGGAAAACTAAAATGACAATTGACAAATGATGGCGGTAAATTCAAATTGCAATTTTAAAGTAGTGGTAGTAGGTTGTAGTTATAAATTAAATTAGAAATCAATTCCACATAAATTATTTTATAAAATAAAGTATGAAACTAGTAAGATTGAAACATTTATTTTACAAAATAATTTATGTCGATATAGTGACAAATTTGAGAAATTAATGTGTTGTAACGAAAAGTTTGTGTTAACCCTACCAGAAAATTGGTTGTATTTTAAAATCTCCAATCGAAAAAAAAAAAAAACGGATCTTATGTGGAGAGATGAAGGAATAAATATAAGATATATCAATAAATAATAAATTAGTCAATTCCTAATAGTAGTTTACGTTATAAGCCCGTTATCTAGATCTGTATATGGGAGCATGGTCGTTAATGTGCCAGCGCTAGCGAGCACGTTATATGACCGTGCGAGCACGTAGAGATCAGGAAACGGACATGTATCGTACAACGTTTAATAATATACAGCAATTTACTATGCTTACAACCTAAAATCAAATACAATTTTATCGTTTGACAAGTTTCCGAATGTGACTTAAAATATTGACAGTTCAGTTACAACTGACAGTTCAGTCATAACCCATAACTGTTGCTTTTTTTGTGTGTGTCATCGGTTTCAACTGCTAAGGTTATTTCGCCTCATGTTCTGTGTAGGCATTGTTACTGTTTCCCAGCGCCACTTTAGGAACAGCACTGTTAATTAGAACCCAACAATGAATGGTCGAGTGGGTAATCCTACCAATGCATTAGAATTAATTTTAAATAATTAAATTAAATGAAAAAATCCCGGCCAACGGTGAGTTTCGAACCTGGGACCCTTGGATCCGCAGGCAGAGACTACCACTGAGCCACTCACCCCCTCATAACTGTTGTTAAAAATTTTACCGGGCTAGCCCTTAATAACCATAAACAGAGGTTGATTACCACGGTATAACATTGTAGTATATCATAAATAAGTTTATAACTCACATAAATATTATTAGAACAAGTTAAATAACAATAACAATAATAATGATAATATTTAACTACGCATTTAACGAATACTTACTTGGAGCAAAGGTATATAATCTAAAAATTTTAAAATATCAATAATTAAATGTTATTAACACTAAAGTGACATACAGGGTTTCACATTAAGAATGAAACATTGGATACTGAAGATTATCTGATTAAAAATAAGACAATTGAACAAAAATGTTACTCGTTTCTGAAATTTTTAAAATTCATGGCTATAATTTTTTAATGACTCAGTATAATTTTACTAAATTCGGCAAACATTTTTGGTGTCATAAGATAACCTTATTAACAAAAATCATTTAAATAAACTTTGCCAGTGGCGTACGGCATAGGTAAGTAACAACTTCATCTCTTCTAAATGTTACGCCACTGTCCAAAAAACTTAATTATATTTTTTTTATGTTTTTTTAAATAAATCATGTACTATCCAAAATTAAAAAATTAAAATGAAGAATATCTACTTTTGAGTGTGAATATTTCGAAAACCAATCACTTTATGACTTCCCAACAAAAGTACATGATTTATTAAAAAAATAAAAAAATATATAATCAAAAAAGTTTTTGGACAGCGCGCAGCGACATAAAATTTAAAGGGGATGAAGATGTTACTTATCCATGCCGTACGTCACTGGCAAAGTTTATTTAACTGATTTTGTTGATGAAATACTAATTAGAAAAAATAACCCCTCAATTAAAACTTTAAATAACTTATGTTATCAAAAATGCTTGCCGAATTTAGTAAAATTATACTGGGAAATAAAAAAGCCAACTTTAACACCTGTAACGTGATACTTGTTATTTTATCTATTTGTTATAGTATTTTAAGCCTAATTGATTTTGGGAGTGGGTCAGGTTATTAAATAACTCGTATTACCTTGAAAAAGAAGTTGGGCACCACTATATTTAAAACTTACTATACTTGACTATAGATTATTGATAAAAATATAGAAAATCACTTACCATTAAGATATTATATTTAAACAAAGTTTTAGATAAGGTAGTAACAAATTCTAATTCACAGAGATTTACTTAATTCAAATTTAGATGATTTATTTAAAGAAAACTTATTTGTTGTAACAGGATGTAGTATATAAAGAGTGATGTATGGAATTCTAGGCCTTCTTCAAAGGGATTCTTATTCTTAATTCTGAACTTGAACGATCATCTATAGGTGAACCAAACTTCGGTCTTTAGATGGCACCAAACTCTTAGGTATAAATCTCCATAAACTTAAATCTCCATAAACTTAAATCTTCATAAACTTCTTGATATAACTTGAAATAAACCGTCTAGATATAGCCAAGCTTATAAAATCAGACGGAATATACGATAGATAAAAATGATTTAGTACATCGGATGACCCAGATAATTTAAAATTTAAAATCAACCTTATTCGTTGACAGATTCAAATCAAAATCGAATAGGAACTTTTGACGCAAGGCATAAACGACAAATGACATTTGAGTAGAGATGTTTGTGTCAAAATAATGAAAACGGTTCCAACCGTTACACACCCTGTACTTGGGGATAAAATAATATTTTATCTAAGTATGTTTAGTTTAATCGTCCTATTTTTAATCAGATAATCTTCAGTTGTGTCCTATCCTGTATTTTATAAATGTCTTTTTATCTGATGACAAATAATGTAATATAGGTATTGGATTAAGGTGAATCCTTTTAGTGTACATTCACTGATAAATATTTTCCTTCAAAATGCAACATTTGTCAACATGTCAAAGAATATGAAGCCACACAAATTAAAAAAGAACATTTGTTGGACTCCATAATGGATCATTTAAGGTTTACACTAAATACTGGGTCATCGGATGAAAGTTGGTCAGAGGATGAAGACAGTGACGTTAGCTTAGGAGCACAACAGCTCTCTGATTAAGAATCGGAAGAAAATTTGACTTGTGTCTTTATTTATATATATTTTTGTAATATATAAGTATTTTGTATTTTAATACCGCCTCATTTTATTATCATTATTTATAAACACATAAAAAGGAATATTATTTAGAATCAAATTCATATCGTAGTACCTAGTTAGTAATTTACCATAATACATAATTTAAAATAAAAAAGGAAATATAAATATAAATTACTAACTAAAAATGCGTCCGCCTCTGCCTCTGACGTCACACTTTCGCGCAGGGTACAGCACGTGGCTCTACCAATCTCATCTTGGGCCGGCTCTACCATTCTCTTATGTGATAAATGATTTCGGGATCTAGTCCTTTTTTGTATTCCCTAATTAATGCATGGTGAATCAGTGAAGTTTTTCTCGAAGTTTTTATCGCAAATAACTAAGAAGACTTTGAGGAAGATTCAAGGTTTTGATCTATGGAGGGACACTTAACCGCTTAAGCCCAGCGTAGAAACGTTTACTTTTGTGATGAAACAATTCCAATGATATATATAGCGCTACCTTGTTACGTTTTTTCAACGTTACTGAAAGTTTACAAAAATAATGTCTTTAACAAACAAGATGTGACCCTGTTATATAGCCAGCCTTTTTACTTATTGTAGATGTTATTATAAGGCCCATAAAATACAATCATATTATTGAATCAAATGTAACATTCAAAATACGTTACCTAGTCCTACCTTTTTATTTATGTAAATATTTTATTTATTTCACCTATCACCTTTATAATACAATAAAAAAAAATATCTTTTAAGAACTTCTACAAAAAACGCAAAATAAAACAAAGGTCTAAATAAATATAGAATATAAAAGTAATAAATACCACCGGTTACGTAAGTAGCAAGCGATCATTGGTGTCTCCATCTATTAACACAGAACGAAACCCTTCTGGGATGTTAGGTCTTCGGTGTAAATACTAAAGATTTTGTACACATTACTGTGCTGACCTGTATGCGATATTATTGGAAGTTATATAAATTAACATCGTATATATATTTATCACAGGAAGTAACTAAAAAGAAGTACAAATAGCTATTTATGAAACCAGTTACGAAATGCCTTATTTTATGAAACGAGTGAATACTATAAAATTATTTATATTGAATTGATTTAAAATTTATTTCATTACTACTACTTACTACTAAAAACTACAATTTAAATTTACCGGCATTTGTCAATTGTCATTTTAGTTCTTTCTCCAAACACAAGGTGGCGCTAATTTAGTTTAAAAGTCTAACATTGGCGTGGGGTCTCTAGACGGTAGGTGCTTTGTGGTAAAACCCTTTAACCATATACAGTGTGTCTCACAAAGTTTGCACCATATGAAAAATATGATAATTTCACATGCGCCAGCAAAGCCTTGCTACCATTTACCAGATGTGTTATTACATACATAATTCCCAAATATCTACATTACAATATAATAAATATTTAAATCCTTTGCTTCAAACAAACATGTTTTATTGAACCTTCAAATATAGCGGCTCTTATTGACACACTCTTTATATATATAAAAATTGAGATATGTTAATAAATGTGCATTTTACAGCGGTTCTGCACTCTTAAGTGGGTCACACTGTATATATTCAATCGGGTCATTGTTCTGCAGAACTTGCTGGATGTCTATGGAGTTGGAAAATAGGCGAGCATCATACGAAATTGATTTTCAAACGTAGCGTAAAGGTTTTTTAAAGCCGATCTCAACTCTATCATCAGATATATATCAATTATTGTTGGATTTCGATCATAAAAAATAATTGGAATCATACCATTAGAAAAGGTATCTAAGAAAGACTAGGCACAAGAAAATTATGGAATGCTGTACTGGAAAAAGAAGATAGATAACTCGAAAATTAAAGTCAAAATTGTAGAACGAGTAACTAAGTCGGAATACAAAAGGGTTAAATAAGATACATATTAGAGAAAACGAATAATTGGCTAATTTACTTTAAAGTGGTCTTCACTTTCATCACTGTCGGCAAGTAACAAAGGCGGAACTGGTGGTGCTTTTAATCTTCTTCCTCGTAAATCATCTCCAATTGGTTTGTAAGAGTTTTCGCTGCTTTGGCTCTATACAAAAGTAAAGTTGTAAGGAACCTTGTAAAATAAGAAATGTTTAGGGCGTTGTTATCAGTATTTCAAAAATACTTAGGTATTTAATATTGAAATAAAAAAAAATCAATGGTAGAAATCCTGGTAATATGTGAAAGAAGCATTTGTAATAATTCTGACCTTTATATTAAGCACTCTTTCATTAATAAATTGCTGTTGTAGTGAACAGAATTCTCAAGAACTAGTTATTAACAAATATATTGGAGTTTTAGTTACTTTGGGTATCAGTAGATCATTTTATGTAAAATAAATATTACTTTAAGTTCATTCTCAACATCACTATCGTCGCTATCGCTTAAGAAATGGTTTTTTAGTTGTCTTCGTTTCAGAAGGGATATTTGTCTATCGGACAAACTACCGCTGGTTTTATCAGAATCTTTGGGGGAAGGAATGTAGGCATCACTATTTTTTTCGTCTTCGGAATTCTATGAAAAAAACAAGGCCTTTTCAGATCAAATTACGATTTGTATTATGTTGATAATCGGATTAATTTCACTTACCAGTTCTAAATCTTTCAATTTCTGAAGATCTTCTGCACGTTTAGGACTTATGCTGCTTTCTTCGGACAATGATAGATCAGATTCGTTATTATCATCTTTGTAAGATGCAGCTTTTTTGGTTTGTTCCTTGTTTTCTTCTTCAGGTAGAAAAACTTCATCGTCATCGTCGTCCTAAAATATTAGGTACACTTTTTATTTAATACAGAAACTATTTAGAAACTAATTTAGACACTTACGTCTATAATTGAAAATGATCTTTGCATTTTTTTTTTAAATGTTGTTCACAATTGTTATTGTTCTGTCGTCGAGTAATAAATTTTATATATTCGCTTTTGTCATAGGGTTTTGTGTTGTATTGTGCAAGTTTTCGTTGCTTAGCAACGACCCAAACAGTATTCAGTTCGGCGAACACCCACGATGCAACGATGCATATTTTTCAGTATTGGTTTTAGCCATAAAGCAACTAATAGGTATAATATAATAATTAATAATTAATTGGTCATGGAGCAACTAGTAGATACATAATAATATTGTCTATTTTTTGTCACCAACATGAAACTGGAATATTTTTTAAAGAGAAATCGCATCACACACTTGATTCTATTGGTAGATTTGATATTGCTGCGTTTTTCATTGGTCGAGTTATTGGGAAGTACGATCTCATAGAGGTCTTCGTACGATATACTCCGCTACAGCACGATTTCGTGTAATCAGAATAGTAGTTTGTGAAACAAGAGTGGATATGATGGCCATATCGCACGAAGACGAAATTTGAGCACGACGCCGTGAGTGCGATGTGGACAATTCACTTAAGTTGTACAGTACATTTTTTCTACGACTCACTAACGAAAATTTACAAATAAAAAAAATATTTTAGGTTATTAACTAATTTTAAAATATTTTATGACTTTTAATAATTTTTAAAATAAAATAAACGAAAAAAAAAAAGAAAAAGTTCATTTAATTTTTCTCCATTCTAGAATCAAACTCGAGTCTTCCGTGTGGAAGGCAAGAATTCTGACCACATGACCACATATTCTTTTATTTTTGTTGCTTTAATACTCGTAATCAAATTGACTTCATATATTTTATTTAAATTAACAAATTATTTATAATTATAGACGAAATAAGAACAGTAATGCTATTATTTATCGATTCTACACAATAATGACCATTTTAATGTATGTTTAATCTCAATAACTAAAAAATATACTGACAATTAGTTTGACAGAATTGTCACTTATTTAAAATTTTAAAAATAATAGCAGTGGGTTGATCAAAATATGAACGATGATTAGTGGATTTCATTTTTTTCCAGTGTTCTCACTACCTAGAATGGATATGAAATATATTCGTTCAGTTGAAGGCAATAGCATACTTTTTCGTTTTGTAATCTGCGCATAGATAAGCTAATATCCATGTGGTTGTAGAAAAACGTCATTTTATGTTGACAAATTTATAAAACTTTATAGGCACATCCAACAGTAGAAGTAGTGAAACAGAAACCGAAACAGAAAAATATTCTTTATAATTAACTTATTAAATTATGTAGTTATTCTTGTATTCACTTCGGTTAATAAAATTAAAATATTTTCACTTTTCTAAATTATTTTTAATATTTTACTTTAAATTTATAATTGCAGCTTTTAATGAAACTGTTTTTTAAGATACAATTAATTGCATTCATGTATAAAGATTTTTGGTCCATTTTATGCTACGCGTTCTGCCTTTAAAATTGCTCGTGAATTAAATGTCGACCTAGATACTTGTGATAATATTTACAGCCATTTAATTTATTTCTAATACTTTTTAAAATTGGAAAGTTAATTTCTTACCATTTGTATTGTAACGATATTTTTGTATTAAAATTTAATAAAGTTAATATTTTATTTAACAATTTTCGATATTAAAATTTTTTCAGACCCTCTTTTAATTTTAAACAGTAACATTAGCCGAAATGTTTTCGAAATGCAGGATCAAAACAGTTGCTGTATAGTACAGGATATGCGCTATATATCCATCTATATATCTACTGTCGTACGCTCCCACTGCTTGAAGCAAACATGGACTCCATCTCACCGAGATATATCTTCCATAAGCCATATAAAGTTGTAACAGAACAAATAGAAGAGCCGGAAGTGGCAGGTACGATTCATATCTACACCGACGGTACTAAAACAAAACAATGCTCAGGATCTGGAATCTTCGAGCATGATGCTTGAAGTGTGGAATATACTCTAGATCCTTAAACCTTAACATAAAATGGGCTGTGAGCAATAGTGCCAGTGAGTTCAAACATAACTCACCTGATTCTCATAGCAGAAACAATATCACTGGAAGGAATATGCTCATCTATTCAGTTAGCAGACAAGCACTACTCACCCGGAACAGACCACGAATTTATTCAGGATTAGTACTAGAATGTCACGAAGTTTTAGCCGAAGTATCCATCAACAACGTGGTCACCTTAAGATGTATCAAAGGACACGACACATCGAAAGGTAACCGTCTTGCTGATTCACCGGCCAAGAAAGCAGCCAACCAAATACTTTTTGGACCTGGCCCTTCCATTGGCCTGACTAAATCGGTAGTGACAGACCTAATTAAAGAATATTCCCTCGTGTAATTTAAGGAAACAAGATGAAACAAGAAACTGCAGAGTTGCCAGGGAGCTTTTAAGTTATCCTGATAACACTGCAGTAAACAAATACTTGACTATGACTAGACAGACAGGTATTCTGATTGGTCATTGCCAAGTACTGAAGCATCTCCATATCAGAATCCGAACTCTGCAGAGGGTGCGAAGAAGAAGATGAGACCATTGAACATATCCTCTACGATTGCTCGACACTCTCATTTATTAGAAGATTTGTGTTCGGCGAGTATCGGCCGATAAAACACTTGGTGATGTTGTCAACTACATCAAATCTGTAGGCTGGCTCACGAGCTAGTAGGTGCCTACCATCTTAGGAGGATGCACAATGGGCCTAGCGAGGCCCAAGTGCCGTGGGGGTAACCCACCCAATACACATTACAGATACACCGAATCTAACATTGACCAAAAACAGATTTTTTTTATTGGCACTGGATAAAACCAAAAGGCCAGACTATTGTAATAATCCATCATTCTTTAAAAACTGATTCGTAACCCTGTTGGTACTTGTTGGAGACGTTCCAGGATCTGGAGTGTTAAAAATACGCTAACCCTCGTAAGTTGACCAGAAGTCAGCTGATAGCTGTTGAGCAGCTATCTTCAGGGAAGGGAGCAAGCTGTTGTTGTGGACAAAATAGTATCACAATATTTGACAGTTGAGAATGGTGTTCCCCAGGGCTCTGTCTTGGGACCGATCTTTTTCAATATCTACACTTTTGAATTTTACAAATCACTGAGGTACTCCACTAGCCATTTCTATGCCGACGATACTCAACTTTATATTTCTTTCCCTGAAAATAATACTCAATTAGCAATAAAACAGTTAAATAGGGATCTCCAATCATTAGCGGATACTGCCAGACATTTTTGCCTCAGTCTTAACCCATCGAAATCCCAAGTTCTCTTCTTTGGAAGAAAAAATCCGCGAAAACGAACTCTGGACTCTGTTATCTTAAACATAAATGATACACCTATACCATTAGTTGAAAGTTCAAAAAATCTTGGTTTGATTCTGGACACCTCTTTGCATTATACGCAACATGTAAACTTAATTATTAAGAGAGCTTACTGCAACTTAAAGTTAATTTATGCAAATAGGGGACTTTTAGACCGAAAAAGTAAAATTACTCTATGTGAGGCTTTGGTATTTTCTCATTTAAATTTTGCCGATGTAGTATATGGTCCTGCACTGCTAAAATGTGATTTGCGAAGACTCCAATTAGTACAGAACTCTTGTGTGCGTTTGATTTCTGGTTTAAAAAGACGCGACCATATCTCTGAAGCTTTAGCTGAGTTAGGGTGGCTAAATATTGAAAAACGAATCTTGTTACATTGTTTTATATTTTATCATAAATTAATTATCTATAAAGAACCATCGTATCTTTTTAACAAAATACAATTTAGATCAGACGTACACCATATCAATGTACGTTTTCGATCTTGCTTGACGCCGCCTATTCACTCTACTTCCCTCTTCGAATCATCCTTTTCGTATAATATAACCAGGCTATACAACAGGTTTCCGAGACATCTTCTTACTTGCTCATTGAGCACTATAAAAAATAAAATAAAAAACTTGCTATTTACTAATGAACTAACATTCTAGACTTGTGCTTTATTTTCGTTTTCTATTTATTATATTATTATTTCTGCGTCATTAACATGGATTAACTTGAATTTCGCTTGTTTTTATCTAGCTTATATTATTATCATTATTATAATTATTTTTAATTAAGTAGTTTAATTAAATAGGTTGAGTGGAAGAGAGGACTTACCCTTGCTTGCAAGGATTAGACCTAACTCTGCCTTTTGGCAAATATTGTATTTTGCTTATATGTATGTTTTTTTTTTCTCTGCCAATAAAAGCTTTTATTATTATTATTATTATTATTATAAGCACAAAATCTGAATATGAAACATCAAAGGCGCCGCTACTATCAAGGTAAACTAGACTCCAAAATGTCATCAACTGTGACAGTTACCGGGTGCTTTTTCGATTAGGCCCTTTCGATAGACTATACCGTTAAGACTGTACAATTTTGACTTATTTTTTTATATAATATAATTCATAAGTTACAATTTTAGGAATTCTAATTCTAAATATTTAAAAATCGTAAACTAATTCTACAAGATTAATTTAATTTGAACTTAAACGAAAATGATTAATTACCCTGCTATACTTCCAATTCATTCGCCACTGTTTTTGATTAGAATGTAAATTTGTGTGATGTGTGATGTCAATTTTTCTCTTAATTGTATTTTTTGTTCTAGTATCTTGTGTTGCTTGCGGTAAGTTTTCTACCTTTTTTTTCTTTGGATTTTAGAAGATTCATCTCTATTGATTTATTTTTATTTGCCCGAAAGTTTTACCGGTCAATTGTACTATAATAATTATGCATATTTGTTACTGTTTGGGTCCTGTCAAGTATTTGACTATGTGCAACACAAAATTGTTATAGGAGGGTGAGTGTCTTTATTAAGTAATTCTTTAATTAAATCTGTGACAAAGATTTCAGCTGTTTAACTTTATAGGATTCTAACGGAATTAGAGCTATTATTAGAATACTAATCAATACGAAATCGTCTGGATATTCTTTGGCTACAAATTATTAAGTTGTGAATGACGTTTTAACTATTTAGTAAACGCACCATTAAATTATATAGACGTCAAAATGACATAAAGCAAAATTTGAAGTGTAAATCACCTCACACCATCCAAATGGATACATAAAATACAAAATTATCAATGAGTAATCCACATAAACCTTGGCTGGATAAAGCAAAGCAAAACAAGAAATTTTGCGGTACAAACTGTAAAGGTCCCAATGAGAAAACTAGTGAACAAAAGTCGACATCAAATGTGACAGCATTAAACAAAGAAAAGCCATCATGTATTAAACCATGGTTAGAAAAAGCGGCCGAAAAGAAGGGGCGGAGGGGTTCGAGCTTGAGTACTTCAACTCCTTCGAAAACGTCTTCTCCGTTGACGATGTCGATGTTAAATGCGGGACGTCCTTTGACACCGTCGGCAAATAGACTTAGGGTGCCCTCGACCCAGAGCAGATTATCCGATCGTACGGTCCAAAACCCAAAACCGCTTGTTTATACAATCGCTGAATTCAAAAAACAGGCGGAAAATCTAAAAAGGTTCTCCATTCCAGAGTTTAAGACGAAGCCAAATAAAAGTTCATGGGGAAGTACGTAAATATTTTCCTAAAATTAATAATAAAAAAAGTTATTTTTCATAAAAAGTGATGTATAGTCTAAAACCTAAAATGCAAGTAGTTACTTTCAACTTTACTCAGAGGTGAAAAGACCACCCCTTAGACACATAATGTCCAACGAAACAACAAACTGTTCGCAAAAAAATTCTTATCTTTTGTGGCATTACCCTTGAAAATTTGAATATCTGGGACATTTTTAGACAATAGTTGTGTATGCGCTAGTTCAGTGTGATGTCATTTTGGTTCCACTGACATTTAATTCTAACCAAACTTTTAACAAAAACATCAATAAATTTGACATATATGTTTTTACTGTTTTAAGTTTATTTTTAATTATTGTTTACAAGTCATAAAAAATAGTTTAAAGGTATGTAATTTGTAACTAAACGATTGTATATTTGATGCATGTTATCTACTTACTTTAGGAATATATTTATAAAAGTGAAAAAACGATATAATTTAGGTAAACATAACGAACAAAATGCACTCAAAAAATTTACTGTCACTTTAATTGTCAGTGGAACCATAATTACATCATCACTGAACTAGCGCATTGGAAATTTTCTCTAAGCTGTCAAAATGGCCGTCATATTGGCATTATTATCTTTAAAAAGTATTTTTTTCTACACCCACATGGATATTAGCTAATCTACGCACAGACTATAAAACGAAATAGTATACTATTGTCTTCAACTGAACGAATATATTTCATATCCAATCTAGGTAGTAAGAACACTGCAAAAAAATGAAATCCACCAATCACCGTTCATATTTTGATCAACCGAATGCTATTATTTTTAAATTTTTTAAATAAGTGACAATTCTGTCAAACTAATTGTCGTATATTTTTTAGTTATTGAGATTAAACATACATTAAAATGGGTTATTCTTGTGTAGAATCGATAAATAATAGCATTTCTGTTTTTATTTCGTTTATAATTATAAATAATTTGTTAATTTAAATAAAACTATATGAAGTCAATTTAATTACGAATATTAAAGCAACAAAAATAAAAGAATAGGTGGTCCTGTGGTCAGCGTTCTGGCTTTCGAGGCGGAAGACTGGAGTTCGATTCTCGGATGGGGAAAAAAAAATGAACTTGTTTCTTTTTTTTCGTTTATTTTATTTTAAAAATTATTAAAAGTCATAAATTATTTTATAATTAGTTATTTTGTCTTAATAACCTAGAATATTTTTTATTTGTATCCACTCTTGTTGCACAAACTAATATAGTGTTCCCCGTTATTTGAGATAACGGAATGAACTTGTTTTTGATTGAAAGCTTATAATGGGATATTATTCTGTGACGTCATGGCTTACTTTGTTTTTTCTTTCGGAAATAATCGCAATTTATTTTTAAAAGGAAATCCCCATTTTTTATGGAAAATTTTAATTCTTCAAACATTTAAAAATCGTGTATTGAAAATCGTTTGTCAAAACAGTCGCCATATTGGATATTTCTGTACATTTTACTATTACCTTGTTTAAGAATGGAAAACATTTTTTCCAATAAATTCATTGTTGTATAATCTCCTAGTTATGTTTGAATATTCTCTTTTTCCAATCAGACATGTATGGATTCAGTTGGCACATAAATTCTTCCCAAAATATTTATCTCTCGATATCTTCTCTACGAAGTAATAGTCTATTGCGTAATTGCTTTCCGATAGGTATTGTGTACTATACCTGTGACCACTTACACAGAGATAAATACGCAAGTAAATACTTTTATAATATATTCTGTTTGTTTTGTTTACTGAGTATTTTTTTTCATCTTTCGTTTTGTTTACCGTGCGTTTTTTACAATATGTTTCGTTTACTGTTTGTTTACCGTGCGATTTGATTACTATGAATAATGAGTTGCCGCTTAAGACAGAAAGTTGCAATCTGTCGAAAGCAGCAACGAACTTTTTACTCAAAATGCACACAATATTTTTTCTACGAGCACATTATTTTAAGAAATAGATATAAAAACTGATAATTTGTCGTAAGTAGTGTATAATGTGCTGCCTAAGTCTGTTAATCATGAAAAAGGAAGTTAATATTCAAGGTCCATGTTAACTTGGACAATAAAACAAAAAACATGTAACTACGTACAAAATAACTTGAAAATCATTTATTAAATTTAAATATTATTGTATTATACCTAATTTAAATTAAGTAACAAAGCTGTCACTTAATGTCAGTTCGCGGAAAACATCAAAAGCGCAGAAGCCAACTTCGTGAAAAAAAAATAATTACGTAACATGACCCATGCTTACCAATCTGAGAAGTGGTTGTGGTGGTAATAAACCAGCAAACCTCAATATCCTCAGTATTACCACAGCTTAATATTGTATAAGCTGTGGTATTACCTTGCCGTCTTGGCAACAGAAGGTAGCAGTGTACCTGAAAATAAACTTACAAGTCTTATACAATTACTTTTTATAAAGATAGTCACGATTTATTATTTTATTTAAAAAAAAGTGTTATATTTTGTCTTTTTTTAGGTTTAAACAAACATGGAAGCAAGACGTTACCAAAAACAAATAAAAAGAACGTTAGTAAGACGAATGTATCTTCAAAATCGTTCTTGAAAGGTATATATCTAAAAATTTTATATTTTAGCAATTTTATTGCGCATTTTAAAAAGGTGCTTATGTGTACGAATGATGCTCTCTCGCTTACACTGATGCACTGATTAATTTAAAACTAGTTTTTGGAATTAAAAACCCGAATCACATTACGACTCGACTGTAGTGTCCTAATGTTTATAATAAGTGTATATGTAAAAATAATAAATTTTAGCTTAAAGAAGATTTGATGTGAAAAATAATTGATATTCATCTTTCTAGCTCTATAACTCAAAAACTCGGAGGGAATTGATTCAGAAAAACTTTTTGTAGCGAATTTGATGCCCTACAAAAGCTATACACGGGTTTCTCCTAAAAAATTTAATATCGAAAAATCAAATTGAATCCAAAAATTTTTTTCCTGTTATTTAAATGGGAAATCGAATTTTTAAATGAGCTAAGTCGCTATTGCATTTAGAACCTTTTACACAGTGGCAAATTTTTTAAATTTTTATAAAGTTTCAGATTTTCAGGTAGCACAGAGAAAAAAAATATTGCCTGAAAATGAAGTACCCTAATCCCCACATAACATCAATGTTCTATGAATATATTAAGAACGTTCTGTTTATATTCTTTTTAGTATGTCCTTTCTAGAATATACTTTCATAGTATATACTAGGTATATACTGAGTACGGCCTTTGAAAGTATATTCTAAAAAGTATATACTGAGTACGTCCCTTAAGTAGGTCCTTTCGCCACCAATGTTAAATAAAAAATATTAGATTATAACTAAAATTAATTTTTTTCTAATAGTAGATGTCCTTATTTATCTAATAGTGAACTTTTAACTATACCTTACCGTGCAAATATTTGAGAATTTTTTTTTTTAAATTTTATGAGAAAGTAAGACTTCAACAACAATTTTCGAAATATAATTAATTTTACTATTATTTATTGATTAGATGGAGTAGAAAAAAACTAAAAATAAGGTTTTTGAAATATTTAGGTTTTGTTTTTTACAATAAAATATATAGGTTACCGTGGAATTTATTGAGAAATTATTATTAAAAAATCACAAAAAATTTTCAACTAGGTTACTTGAAAATTTTTTGTGATTTTTTAATATTAATTTCTCAATAAGTTCCACGGTTTACTATATATATTTTATTGTATAAAACAAAATCTAAATATTTCAAAAACCTTATTTTTAGTTTTTTTCTACTCCATCTAATCAATAAATAATAGTATAATTCGAGAATTGTTGTTGAGGACTTACGTTCTCGTGAGGCACTGTACAAATACTCACATTTAAAAAAAAATTCTCAAAAATTTGCAAGGTAAGGTATAGTTAAAAGTTCAGTATTAGATAAATAAGGACTTCAACTATTAGAAAAAAATTAATTTTAATCATTATCTAATAACTTTTTTTTTAACATTTGAGGCGAGAGGTGTGGCGAAAGGACCTCCTTAAAAGTATATTCTAAAAAGTATATATTGAGCATGTGCATTCTTAGAAGATACTAAAAGTCATATACCCAGCATGTACTTCATATTCTGAGAATGTTCTAAATGCTTACGGGTAAAAATTAACACCAAATACATGTAAAAACACGTTTATATACATATCTATATGAATTTTTCCCAGATGACGATCTGATAATTCGCTAGCAAACGCACTAATGTTGAGTGTTCACAACCTTAAGAGAAGAAGAAGAATAACATAAACTACAAATTTTTTGAGGTCTATCAATTAGACGTGTTTTTACATTTACATTCCGTACACGCCGCGAGGCGTGTTTTTAGAATATAGATTAGGCGCTCGGCGTTAAACGTGTTCTGTGGTCAATTTTTAAACGCTTACCTATTGTCATTAAACATTTTGTATTTATGGATTCAAGACCAAAAATGAAGCGTTTGATCTGTTTGTCTTAGATTCCGGGTCAACATATTTTAATGTAGAACTTTGAATTAAAAAATATTGATATTCTGGGTCAAAAAAATATTCAAGAATTAAGAAGCTTACTACTAAACTACTTAATGAATAAGCACATATCATCCTATGTTTTCTTATAGGTATTCTGCGTCAAAGAAACTACTGTTAAAATATTTCCATGTTAAAATTTAATCTTAAATTGTAGAGGAAATATTGACTGTCTATGATATTTTTTTTCCTATCTCAAATAGGTGATGCCATTGAGTTTAGATTATTTAATATTATTAGCATAGTTTCAAAAAGTAATTATTAGCTATTGGAATAATTGTTATGAGTTATATCAGAAAAGTAGAATAATTAGCAAACAATCCTTTAGTATTAGTATATATGTATTTAAGTTACTCTTACAACGGCGTGTATGCAATTTATTTCTTAATACACGTCCCTTACTGCAAGGAAATGATATTTCCTTACAGTTGTTAGTGTTCTACATAAATGATTGAAAACACGTTCTTTATAAGGATTATATTTTGAAAACCTCAATGTATTGCAGAATACATTTTAAATTTAGTTTGTTATATTTACAGTTATTTGACAGTACAATTATTGAACATTGGAGGAATATTATTAGAACTATGAGAAACATTTTGGACAAAATGTGGGGTGGTAGGGATATTTTGTTGAACATTTTGTACTTTGAAAATTTTATTTGCCACCTCAACCTTATTGTTAAGAAAATTTTTAATATATCCTTCAGCAACGTTTGATGACTTCCATGCTCCATGCCTCTTTAAACTAGTTGTGTCGACACCAGAGTCAACCAACATTGTTACAGAAGACCGACGAAAGCAGTAACCAGTTTATTCTGTCGGATTTACCAAGTTCAAATAAGTAGCTACTATTTTTATTTTAGGCATTTTTCTAAATTGATGTAGTCCTAACCACTTGTGTACAACCCTTTCCGCTTTGATATTTAAAGAAAAATCGGTCACTGGTCTTAACGAAACATACTTTCGATAAACATTCAAGTACATCTGATTTACTACATACAAATGATCTTGGTTTGTTGGTCTTCGAATCAGGTATGCTAATTAAAAGCTTAGATTTTAGGTTTTCTACATCGTGTAGAGTCATTCGGACTAACTCATCCATTTTACAGGCCCCAGAAATACCAAATATTAAAACCATCTAAGAAATAAATAAATCTGTAATCTAAATAGAAATTAAAACCGTGTAAATTATCAATCATTAATTTTTTTTATTTGAAGCTTCCTGGATAAATTTTTCGATTTGTTCCTTCCTTAAAATCTTTCTTTGCCCTATAACCTTGAGCTTGCCGTTTCAATAAAGAACGAAGTTTTGAAGGTCGCGTGCTTAGACAGGGTTGGCTCCGCGTCACAGTATGTTTACCTCGTAGGAAAAGCCACATTCCTGGACTCTGTGTTGCTAACTCTCGGCTTGCGCCTCGACTTAGCAATCTTCACAGTCGTCCAGGAATGTTAGACTTTTCCTAATTGGTAAACAATATACTATTTTGCCAAATTTTTTTTTTGCCAAAAATGTTTTTGGCAAATATTTTTTTTGGGCTATTTTTTACAATTTTTTTTTCGGTGAAAACTTCTATATGCATGTTGTCCGTTTTTCGGATGGTTAAAATCTTCCCAGCTAGCAACATCGACATGCTAATAATAGTATATCTATAGCTATAAGTATGACAAGCGCTTGGCGAGCAGTGAAAGTATGGACCAAATTTTTTTTTACAATTTTTTTGGCAATTATTCTTTTTTCACAAAAATTTTTTTTGGAATTTTTTTTGTGACTTTTTTGTGACATTTTTTTTGTGACAATATTTATTTGTAAAAAAATTTTTTGGATCAATTTTTTTTTACAATTTTTTTTACAAAATGTGCTCTTCAATGAACTAAACCATCACAATTCGATAAATATGGTACAATTTATAGAATCTGGTTCATTTTTATGGAATATGGTACATTTATCAGACAAATCTGATACATAACAAAAATATACTCTGGCAACACTGGTACGTAGTCACAGCCAATAAATTAATAAAAATTAAAAATTAATTGCATCGTGTGTTCTATATAAAAATAAACAAATTTTATTATATTTGTAGTTTTTAGGACCTATAAGTGATGTTAGAACACAGGACATCCCAAATATTAATTGCCAGTGTGAATTTATTAATATGGTTAATACTAAAGTAAGTGATCTGTAATACTAATGGCGAATTGAAACTAAAATACAGTGTTACCAGAATTACATACACACTTTCTATGAAAAGAATCCTGTAAGGCCAGAAATTGACCTTGAAGAACTAGAAAATTAGCTAAAGGAGGACGAAAACTGCAAAATGGTGGTAAGTAATTAACAAAAATATATTTAAACTTTCACTAAACATAATAATCATTTATGCAACTCTTGTTTTTATTAGTGGAATGCCATGTACAATTTTTAATGTTTGTTGATTTTTTAAATTTTTTTTAGTTTAAATGAAGATCCAATGGAAGCAATCAAATGAAATTCAAGCTATAAGCCATTGATACAATAAAATATTGGTTGGTTAAGGCCAAAGAAAGAATTTGTAATAAAAATAAGTATGAATTTTTGGAAATAAAGATATAAAAAATGGTCAAGACTATCATTATATACACTTATTCTTTAATGTTCAATATTAATGAAACATCCTGTATTAGGGTGTCTAGTATATGCCTAGCATATGCTATATTTAAATACTTAGTATATACTTAGAACTTACTATGAAATAAAAGTAGATACTTATTGCATACCTCGTTGCATACTGACACATATTTGAAGTACATACTCAGTATCTGCATAGCACGTATAAACAACATCACGTAACATATGCTTAGTATATTTTGAGAATGTACTAAATGCAAATAAAGTATATTCTCAGCATATGCGTATTCTTAAAAAGTATATTCTAAGAATGTATAACTGTTATCTGGGCCAGTCCAACTTATCACATTCTCAAGCTCTGTCAAAGTTTATCAGACACCTATTTTTAACATCTGATTAACATCGTGAGGTATTTATTCCTATAAAATACCTTATTTACGTATATATCATAACCAAAATTTATTTTCACATTGTCTTGCTATTTGATAATAATTAAAATAATTGGTAAAACAATTTTTAAAACATATATTTTTCTAATGTCTTTTTTTACGAAGAGTCATCACCGATTCCGTCAAGACCAGCGTCCGCTAATCTTTCCCCTCAGATAAAAACATCAACAGCTTTAAAGGCTCCGGTCCAACTTAAACCCAGTGAAACTAAACCCAGTGAACCTAAGCCTAGTGAAACTAAACCTAGTGAAACCAAACCTAGCGAAATTAAACATAGTGAAACTAAACATAGCGAATATAAACCTATCGAAACTAAACCCCCTGAAATCAAACCAGAAGAGAATTCTGTCGAATATATGCTTAGCGATCCTAATGTGCCTGAAAATTTTGAAAATTTAGAACGCAGCGAGATGACCGAATTGGAAAAGAATGATGAAACCAAACCTAAGCCTATGCAGGTTTTAACAGTAGTATGCATTATGTTAGCTTTGTTCAAAGATTAGGAAGGGTCTGGGAAGAGTAAAGTTTTGGAGTATAATAGCATCAATGTTAATGATTCATATCGATTAAGTACGGACAATAATAGCCTTTCACGAATAATATAGATCTGTCCTTACTTTTGTTAAATTCGTCAGATTTAAATTGTTAAAAATGTATTGGAAATCATTTTGAAACCCATTTAATACTATATAACTGCAATGCAGATATTTTTTCTTTCGCAGGTGTGTTTAAGAAAACATCTTGAAACCGTATCCACATTTCGATACAGAATTATCTTATTAATGGCGTTATATTTAACGTTGACCATAACCACTTTTTTGTTCCCAAGACTCTTCTAAACCTAATTGATAAACCTAAAAAAATATAGCAATCTAGAAACGAAACTAAATAAATAAATAAAAATGTTATAACATATTTGAGGATTTTTTACTTCGCTATAATACTGTAAATACTACTCGTTCTTAGGTTAGTTGGGTTAATTTGAGTGATTGGCTTGAAATAATTATTGTTAAATATTTCTGAAAGGAAGGAGTAATGACGATAATACTCATAAATATAAAAAAAATAGCAAGAGTGATATTTACTCTATTTTATTAAACAGAAATACTTTATTGATTCAAAAAATCTTAATTTTCATTTTTTTGATTGTTTATTTATAGGTTCACAATATTTTAGACCATGAAAATTCACCACAAACAAAGACACCTGCAGATCATTAATAATTGAAGTGAGAAATACTTTTTGTAAAGTTTCGATCAATTTTTATGAAAACAGTATCAATGTTGCAAATCACAGGTAGAGTCATGGGTCGGTATATAGCGGGTACCGACTAGTAAATGGCAACGCCGATACCACATCCTTTCCTGCACATTCGAACGCTATTCACTCATCCAACAGCAAATCAGGACCGAATGTTTGATCTTGCTAGCACTGTATATAGAAGAACGCTTTAGAGTAAAAACCCATCAAGAACTAAGAGACTCACGTACTCACGACAAACTGGTTCCGTATATGAACAACATTTAAGCAGGCTTCTAATGTGTCACGGTATATCTATGGGACCATTATTTTTCTTCCACCTCTAGGATCCTATCTTTAATCAGTGTTACGGTTCTGTGTTTTGTCAATCGATAATCATTTGTTATCAAATAGATTTTAGGATTCAACATTGATTTTCTTAGCCATCTTTCATGAATTAATTCAGCTCTTGATTAACAAATACCATCGATTTAATATGTTATACAAAATCTGGATGGCGTAAATAATTTGTTCTTTTGAATGTAAAAGTTAAAGATATTTTTGGATCTTATAAGCAATATCTTATTTTGGATGTGGAATCAGATGATTGGTTCTAAGACACTGATGTGTACCTACTTAATATGACCGAAGCAGCAATTTAACTAATTCCTAGCTTAAAACTGACGATACCGTCCTCGTTACCGCATTACCTAGCAGAAGCCTATGACCTATAAGTCATTTTTTAAAACACATGTACTACTTTATTCAGCGAATATACCACCGTTAACTACTACTAGTTAACTAGTAAATTAGAATTTGTTTCTTACCGTATCTAAAGCACATACTTTAATTTATTAAAATTTAATTAGTAATGACCAGAGATAACAGAGATATAACCATTCATTGATAAAATATAATATTCACGATGCCAAGATTAATATGATAATCAATACGCTCTATTTGTAGGTCCGCGGCGAGGAGACGAAAGATGAGAAGTAAGAGAGGGGATAAGGAGAAGAATTTTACCCACGTTGGTCGCCAAATTTGTAATAATAGTTGTTATTTTTACAATTTAAGTGTAAAAGCTCTTTAAGGTAGTACATGTAGTATAAATGACTTATCTAATAGGTTGTATATAGGCTTCTGTATAAGGTAACATTGACGGCCTCATCAGTTTCCGGTTAGAAATTAGTTAAAATGCTGCCTCGGTCATCTCAAGTAGATACACATCAGTGTCTCAGACCAATCATCTGCTTCCAAAAACAGCTATTTGCTAAGATAGTACAAGTAAGTTCCAAAAATATCTTCTGCTTTTACAGTCAAAAGAACATACGCTATCCAGACTATTATATCGATGGTTTCTGTTGATCAAAGAAGGTATTAATTAATAAATGTTGAACCCTACATTGTTTCTTTCGATCTTGTTGAATACGATTTTATGAATCTACACATGAAGTCAGCCCTAACTACTTCCTAGGATATTATTCTCGAGCGTGATTCAACAATCAATTTCTTTCTTCTACGGTTATAATTTTATGCAGGCATGGAAATATTAACAGACAACGCATACCTTACAATGACTTAAACGATGTATAATAGGAACATATAGAAACCGCTGTCACTTGTCGCGCATAAATCTGTATTTAATGTATGAAGTCGGACGTGCAGAAAACGAAGTCGTTTCGATGCTTGCTGGCAGCGGTCTCTCTCTGTAATGTGCATGTTCCTATTAAACTTTGTTTAACTCATTGCAAGGTATACGTTTCGTGTTGAAAATTTCGTATCTGTTTATGCTATACAATTATGTTTCCACCAAAATGGATCGAAACTTTAAGCATTCAAGATTTTAAAGTTGTATTGTATTTGACAAAAATGTACCTACTTCCAAAAAATATCGAATTTATTGACTTTGTAGATTGAGAAATCAGAGTAAAATATTTAAAAAACGGCTTTCCAAATTATTTAGTGACCGTGTTTTGTGATGTGATAGATACTATGTGGTTGCGGTACATAGTACTTCTTTGCAATTTTTTTAGCAATTTAAAAGTAAAACGATTTTTTTAGAAGCTGTATTATGTTCTGGTAGATTTTAATTAAAATAAAATGTTTACTTGAAAACATCCATTACATTTAAAAAATAAATATCTTAAATGAAATACCACAAAATAATTTTCATAGGGAACACATATTAAAATGCATGAGACTTTGTTGATTAATATTAAGATAAAATATTTTCTTTATTTATTTTTAGTCAGCGATACTAATATAATGCCTGGAAAGCCGATTTTTGGATATGATTTTAATTTTTTGCCAATCACTAAAGTTATCCACACAGTATATAGTGTGAAGTAAAAATGTATGTTTAAAAAAATCGTTTCCTGGATAAAAATTAAGATATTTTTTAATGAAAATGAATTTTTTATAACATTTTGCGAAGAAGTACTATGCAAAAACAATTCTTATAAATAGCAAATTTAGTGTCATTTTTTTTTAAATATCTAAATAACGAGTAAGTATAACATTTTAGGGTCAATGTTATTATTTAAAGAAAAAATTACGAATAGTGAATGATTTCTTCCTATTATTTTGATTTAAACTCATTTTTGTTTGTTTTTTTGCAGAACAATATCAACTTTAGCCATTTGTGTAAAAAATTATGGATCTCACCCTTTCTTGTTGCGCTCCACTGAATCTATTGTAAATATTAAGCCGTTTAAGAGTTACTAAAAAAATCTTGTTTTAACTTTCAAAAACGAGTTATATTAGACGGTAATTTTTATCTTATTTTCAAAAATTTTATGAAATCTACACTACAGCGTTGAAAGTGTAGTTTGTAAGTTTTGCCAACAAATGGCTAAAAGTCGATATTTTGGTTTCACGATAAAAATGCATTTTCTTATTTCTTAATCTAGTTCAGTATTTCTCTAAACACTTAATCAAGCAACTTATCATATACCCATATTATTTTTTATCAAGACATCATCAACAGAAGAAGAGAAACCCCAACCTATCATTGTTGAAAGTCCCAAATTTGTCCCTTCGTGTTCACAACCACCACAACCTGTCGCTTCATGTCCACTACATACAATGGAAGTACCAGTGTTATCTGATTCACATTGCATACCACCACCAGGATATGGGGATACTGAAAACAAACCACCCCAACCAAGTAAAATGGAATTCGCTTCTAAAAAACTTAAAGACTGTTCAATTCTAAGACAGGGGGATCAGCAAGATAGAATATATTTTGTAGGTAAGGCGTTACTCATGCAATAGGTACTTATGAGCAATGGGGTTGCGTCAGATGAGAACTCTATTAGATCAGTTTGCGCCACTATCTAGAATCTATTACCGTCGATATTCCTATTAGGAGGAAACACATTTCATCTCGTCACACTATACAAGTTTCAAATAAGACTTAACATCAAATATAATTCATATATTTGGATAGATGCAGCAACTACAAAGCGTAAAAACTCGTTTCTCTTGGCCATCAGAGCGAAATTTGCAATTTGTCTTAGTTGTCCACTCTTCCGAAATTTCCTTCATTATTCCACCGCTAGTTAGAGCGATTCACCAGTCCTTTTGACACACGGAAAAGTCAATAATTTTATATTTAAAGATTTGAAGGTAAAAAATATGTTTCTATCATTTAAATAAAGCTATTAACAAAATGGCATTTATTCTCACCAAAACTGACTAGCTCCACTAGCTCGAGTTTGACAGATGACGTAAAAGCGTAATTTAAAGGTGCAGAGACTTTAAGTATCGTCATAGCATCTTCTCTTTAACCTATCTCAATGGTAGAGTGGCTAGACGTTAGGACTCTCTTCCCTAAGTTTTTCTTAACCATCCCAATAAACATGTGTTTAAAGCACCTCTCCTTTTACAGAGGACGCTCAGAGTATATAAAACTTATTGGTTTTACCAATGATTAACACGTTTTGTCTGCGTTTTAGGTGTAGATGTTGGTACAGGAAGTGTTCGAGCAGCTTTGGTAACGAAAGATGGACAAATAGTAAAAACGTCCGTATGTGATATAAAGACATGGAACATTCAACCTAATTTTTATGAACAGTCCTCAGATAATATCTGGGGTGCCGTGTGTTTAAGTGTGAAGGTATGCCATTACATAGCCCCTGACTAACGTATATAACTTGTGACACAGTCAACACTCAAAATCTTATTAATTTTTAGAATATTGTTTCACAAATAAACCCTAACATGGTGAGAGGAATAGGATTTGATGCTACTTGTTCTATGGTTTGTCTAGACCAAAATGGCCAGCCGCTATCTGTCAGTCCTTCAGGTAAAAATATTAGCTTCGATTTTTGTGGTCCTCACACAGATTTTATAAACCATTTTTATTAAAATGTATCAAATAACGGCTTTTTCGGACAGAAATCATAATCGAAAAGTAGAACAGGTCGAAAAAGTCAAGCGGCACCGAATTCTATTTTGTTTTTAATTTTCAGTTTACTTTTTAACAATACTGCTACTCATTTTTTTTATTGCCAGTAGTTCATAATCGATATTTATATTTATATCAAATTTGAATACCAGCATTTTTCACTGAAAAAGAAAAACTAAATAAACATTATAATTAAATTGATTTGACATCAGCACACTTACATAACAGCTATAGTTCAATCACAGAATAGATAAACAATACAGAAAAGACAGTAACGATCGGCACTTTGAAGTAGAATGGATAGATGCGGGGGTTGGTAACTCAAATGGAAAAACATGAGGAATTTAGTACCACCTCAAAAAACGGGATGGCGCTAGTATCAAAATGTCAGTTGTCAGCTCGTGTAAAACTTAAAACTTAGAAAAATTAAAATAGCTGTTCGAGTTGAAGGTGGATTGTATTTTGATTCATCTAGATTTATTTTTCAATATCTTCCAATTTTAAGCATGTTTTCAAAAGATGGGAAGATGAATTTCAACAACGAACAATAAAGTACTCTCAGATATTGGTAGTGATTTAATGTATACCACATATTAAATATGCGGTCGTCATATTAAGGACAACCAAACAATTTGTAATAAGTAATTATAATTCTCTCCCTAATTCACCCCCCTACGAGTGAATTTTAACCCCTAAAGCTGAGCTTGTGCGGGGAAAGGGACGACTATTATTATTATTTGCCGTGGCGCTCCGGGGCGACTTAAAGATGATTGATGGTGCCATTTAACTTATAGGTAAGTAAAACCCGGAAAACCTCACCCACCATCATCGGGACGGTAATGCATGGCGATTTTATAATCTGCATGTCATATTAACAGAAGTGTCTTAAGAAATATGCATCTTGCACTGTTTGGCACCAATGGTAAGTAATATTTACAAACTTGTTTTTGATTCAGTGTTAAAATAATTAGTTTATTCAATTTTTTTTGTTTTCAGTTTTTAAATGATCATTGTTATTGTAAAAAAAATGTTGGCCCTCCAAAATACCCTGTAAATGGATGAAATATGTGAGCCTCAACCATCAATATCAAAAATTCCATTGACACCAAACAAGAAAACTTACCGCAAAATCTTCATGGGTCCAAACATGTGTAAGTTTAATTTAGCTCGAAAGCTAAATTCATTTATCACAGTGTCCAGATGATGAATAAGAATTTGATAAACTACAACTGCTGTACAGATAAATCAATAAAACAATAATTATAGGATGAAGAAATGCTCCTCAACCTAACTAGTCGACTCAATAAGCGTATGGCAAATTTTATCCACACTCAAAATCGCCTTGATAGTAAGACACTAAAAGAATGATGCTTCAACTTCAATTTTTTCAAAATTATTTGCCACTCGCAAAACTTTTATAAAGGTCTTGAGCACTATATATGCTGATTTTGTTACAGGAAACATTTTTAATAGGTTTGTTTTATAAATATTTAATTATTTAAATGGTGTAAATGGTATAAATGCATATTTGTCTAAGTATTTTTATGTTTAAATAGACAAATTATATGATGTGGCGTTAATTTACTGTAATAAAAACAAAAATTAAATATATTTCATTTTAATTCAAGTTTGAAACTATTGCAAAAATATAATGAAGTAAAATCAAATAAAAATATAAATTAGCAAAATATTTGACTAGTTTCAAATCATAAAACAACCATATTGACTGTTTTGTGATTTGAAACTAGTCAAATATTTTTCCAATATATTTTTTTTGTTTGATTTTCTTCAATACATTTTTGCCCAGCTAGCAGAAAGTTTAATTTCAAAAATCTCGCCACTGGCGGTTATATTGAATTTAGTATCACTCTAATTTATAGCAACACATCGCCTCAAAATTTTACCATTGAATTTTCCATCTTTTCACTTTCCCATAATCTATGGATAGATATCTCTGACCCTTAGATCCACCATAGAGGTATATTTATATACTGTTTTTAAACTAGGAGGAGCGATTTTAATTTAAGTTGGCAATCCTGTAACTTCTAATGCGCTAGTTCAGTGTGATGTCATTTTGGTTCCACTGACATTTAATTCTAACCAAACTTTTAACAAAAACATCAATAAATTTAACATATACGTTTTTACTGTTTTTATTTTATTTCAAAATATTGTTTACAGGTCATAAAAATAGTTTAAAGGTATGTAATTGGTAACTAAACGATTGTATATTTGATATATGCTATCTACTTACTTTAGGAATATATTTATAAAAGTGAAAAAAACGATATAATTCAGGTAAACAAAACGAACAAAACGCACTCAAAAAATTTACTGTCACTTTAACTGTCAGTGGAACCGTAATTACATCATCACTGAACTAGCGCATTGCGGTCAAATTGCAGTCAGTTTCACACATCACTTTTTAGCATTAACATCAGCTAATAGCATTCAATATAAAAACCGATGCACGTCAGAGATGACGTCAGTGACAATCATTGGTACCACACACACTAATAAAAATAATTAAATTTTATTTTGCAAATAAATGAATAAATTTAGACGCATGGAGTTCATTTTTATAAAATTGCATATTAAAAATGTATTTTTTATTATATCACAGTAGTAAATGTACTGTAGGCAGATTATTAACGGAATACTTTCTAGTGAATTTCATAATAAAAGTTGGCATCAAATGTGTCAGCTTTTAATTTTAATACATTGTTGTCAATTGAAAAATGCCAAAACAATTAAATAGTCGCTGCTAGAGGAATTAGTGGCTTCTCTAATAAATTATTTTGAGAAAGAACGTGAAAACGGTGGTGGGCCTTTGTTACCTTTAACAGCTGTAAGAGAAGTGAGTTGATTAATAATGTATCACCGTCAAATTAATATAATTATTTTGTTTCAGCGTGTTGCAGAAGCACTTAATCTCAATGTTTCTACTGTTAGTTCTATTTCACAAGCTGTAAAGAACAGAGAAGTTCTAAAGTCACCACCAAAAAAGCGACCTAGGCAAAAGAAAGTTACCAACACAAGAATTCTGAATACCAGTGCTATTCGAGATGTTATTTATAGCATGTACGAGTCTAGTAAGTGTATATGTATATAAATTATTATTAAACAATTACAAATTAATGTATGATTTCAGAGGAGCATGTAAGTTTAGATTCTTTGTTGGTGAAACTTAATGAGAAGGAGTTGTTCAATGGATGTCGCACATCATTGCATACCTTATAATTAGAAATACGTTTTAAATGGCAGAAAGATGAACCAAGGCGAGGTCTTATGGAACTTCCAGATATTGCCGTGAAACGGGCAGAATTTTTAAGGAAATATACCAAAGAAAAGGAAGCAAATTTGTACCAGTTTGTTTTTATTGATGAGACTTGGATTTTCCAAAATGGCACCATAAACTGTTATTGGCAAGACAGCATTAAAAGAAGTGTAAAAAGTACAAAAGTTGATGGTAAAAGGTTAATAAAAAAAACTAATGAATATATACATGTTAACTGTATATTGATCTTTTTTATAGATATATAATTCTTCATGCTGGAAACGAAAATGGATTTATTGATGGTGCCGAGGCCATATTTGCTTCAAAAAGCAATGATTATGATTATCACGGTGAGATGAATAATGAAAATTTTTAAAAATGGTTCGAAGAACAATTGCTTCGAAGACTGCATGAACCATCTTTAATTGTAATGGACAATGCTTCATACCATAGCACATTGGCACACAAAACACCGAATAGTAATTCGACTAAGGTTCAAATTCAAGAGTGGTTGACGAATCAGAATATACCTTATTCAGTCACCATGTTTAAGGCTGAACTTTTGAACCTTGTTAGACGGTGAGTAATGGAAATATACTTTTTCTGTATTTTTATGATTTTATTTTTTTAGTAATAAACCACCAAAAATATATGTAGCCGATATGCTGGCTGAACAGTATGGACATAAGGTGTTACGTCTTCCTCCTTACCATTGTATTTTTAATCCAATAGAACTGATTTGGGGTATTTCAAAACAATATTATAACAGGCACATTGGTCGGGATGGAAAGACACAAAGAGATTGTATAGACATGTGGTCTGAAGCACTCCGAACCATTACCCCACAAATGTGGGCAAACAGTGTAAGACACACTGAAAAAGAAATTTTTAAATGGTGTAAAAGAGAGCATATACTGGACCGATTGGAAATTGCTCCCATTATTATAACACCAAATAGAGATGATTCTGATTTTAGTTCTGATTATTCTGACTGATTTTAGCTTAAATATTGTTAATTTTATTACCTAACTATTGTTACTTCTTTTAAATATGGATGTTTACAAACTAACTGAACATAATTATTTTTTATTGTAAATTAAATCAAGCCTAAATAAAATTTGTTAGTTTTTTCATCCTTAACCTAACGTTTTTTTGTCATTTTAAACCTGTTGTGCAAAATTTATTACTATTAAATTCAGTGTTTATCTAAAACTTTAATTTAAACATTATCAATGACCTTCACTGGCTTTTATATAGAATTCATTATACATTTAAAATTAATTGTTCCTAATAACATAGCCAAAAAACATAACCTCATAGTTTTAAAAATTCCTACATTCTTAGACTATTTTGAAGATTGGGCAACACTGCAAGGCTATGACTTCACAACTGATTGATGACGTGTATCGGTTTTTATATTGAATGCTCTATAATTGATATTGTTGACAGTTCTGAAATTTTATATTTTGATATATTTGATTTTCTTTTACTATACGGAGAATGGTCGCACTGCGCAGCTTTCTGAGTGCCTTTTAAAAGGAGATAGAAAACTCCGCCATTTTGATCCCTTATTACGTGTTTCCTACATCTTGGCGCAATATTTTTAATAGGTGCGTTTTAATCATCCGCTTCTGCTTCGGAATTGTCGGTTTTCTTGTTTAAATCTGACAGGTTAAAACGACTAAACCGACAATTCCGGAAGCAGAAGCGGATGATTAAAACGCACCTGATATTTTGCTTGCTGCTGTCAGTGTCAGTGAATATTATTTTTGGAGTCACAGTTTATTGCTAAAGAATCAGTTAGCTCACTCGGACCAGTTGAAAGTTCCAAAATAACATCCACTCCAGGGATACAAATTCAGGATACGCAGAAGACTGCTGTTTTATTATAGGCGGTTGTCATATATTGTATTATCCGAGTTGCGCAGTGTATAAACTTATTTTATTTCGCACGATTATAGAATAATTTTGTTTGTTTTATGTTATTTAAAATAGTTGTTTATTTAGAAAATGTATATTATGTTTATTGTTGTAACCAATAAAGATTCTACAAATAATATTTAGTTGTTACAATTTTGTATACATAAAATTTTACAATTTTTGGCAATTTAAAAATTCAGATAATAGTTTTGTATGTTTAATAACAAAAATTGAAATAATTTTTCAACAAAATTTTGAATTATTTATCACTAAATTCGGCGTTTGTAATTTTTTTTAGATTTAATTAATTCCGAGATAACATTTGACGCTGCTTGTCCTCGATTTCCAGAAATATATGTTATTAAGTTATATTTAAGGCTACTCATATGTTACACTTTAAAAATATTAATAGAAATTTTAAGACCATCAATAAAAACAAGCTAATTATTTGGCGCAATCTGTAGAGCATATTGTCTTTCTTAATGCTGTTCTTATAAGTTAAAATATATTTCATTTAAATTTTTACTTTTTTGTTTTAATACGATCCTGCCTATCAATACCTTATTTTATTACAACATATTTAAATACGCTTTAATCCGACTCTGACTAAGACCCCCGAATGGCGTCGCCAAGGTCAAATTTTGTTATCATAATTTGTATGCGATCAGCGGCAAGTGAGCCTGCCGATTGTTTCTTATGCCGTGCTGGAACATTGAGATCAAAAGTGCCGACGCAGAGTGAGCGATCTGATTCTTTAGCTATAAACTGTGGCATTGGAATCAAAATGGCCTATGTTGGGCGTGTCGGACCTCTCTCTTGCACCGTATAGTAATTAAAGTATGTGGATATTCGTAAATAATAGTTCTTTTCAGAACTTCAGTAAGCAATTGTATTGAATTTCTACGATTATGGATCCATCACCGATTACTATATTAAGGGTAGCAATTCCTGAAAGGCCCTACAAGAAAGGGAAGATGACTTATTATTTTACATGCTGATTCTGAAGATTTTGTAGAAAATACATTATTGGTTTTAAAGGCAAAAAGACGGGTGATTAACATGAAGAGATGAATTCCGAAGTATTCCAGAAAAACCTAACAACTTTATTACTGATTTAAAAAAAAAATATTTATTTGTTCCTTAATCCCTCATTGGCCGTTCGCCGACTAGAGCCGATAATAACAACTATTACATAAATTTTAAACACGACTATATTTCGGAAAATGCCCTTTGTAACGAATCTAGTTACTTTTCCTTGTGTAAATGCGTCTTTTAAATTCGCTCCTCCTAGTTTTAAAAACAGAGTATTCGCTGTGTGCAAGACTGGTAGCGCTCTCTGGTGACGGGATAGCGACAGTTCTCCTCATTCATTCCCGCATACTTGAATGATGGTTCAAGAACTTTTTTCCGGCGTTAAACAATTGTACATTTTATCTCGTCTATTTTCCGCTTCATAAAACGAGCATGTCTGCAATAAAAACATATTATCCTGCGTTTTATAGAAACCTCTATGAATTTAATGAGTTAACATTTTAATTGAAGTATACCTATTCACGGCTGCGATTTGATTTGCGCTTTTTTTCGGATCTGACCAAGGAAATATTGTCGGTACATAACTTGGGCTACTTTCTTCTTCTCGTTTTTTATTTCCAATAAAATGACCACTGCATATATAATCATTCCGTTTTGGCACCCAAGGTGAACCATCAGCGCTCTGGAAAAACCATTAAATCTATTACGTTATAAATAATTTATTTATCACTATTACTTGAGCATTCAAATACCGCTCCTACTTTCGATGTTTATGATATATATACGACAGAGGTTATGTTACTCACTTTTTTCTTTTCACAGCTGCTATCTATTTCTTTCTTTGCTCCAATTTATGTGATGCGGTTGGAAACGTATAAAACTTACACGCACTATTTTTGCTAGTGTTTTTACACTCGACAACACTACAATAACGACGACTCATTTTAATACCCAACACGAGACCCACAACACGCTGCCGCGCTACTACGATGATGTGGACAATCGCCGACTCCTGCTACCATAGGCGCTGCGATAGCTCAAATGCACACAGCGAATAGGTAGGTACTCTTGAGAAAAATAATGTACGCGAATCTAAATTATTCATTGAAACTACACTGCGAAAACTACATTTATTTATATTTTACTTTGTTAATGCTCCAACATTAATAAGGCGTGGTTATAGTGGCTAAGGTTTTTCTTTCCTGTATAGTTCATCTATTCTGTAGATAGATCCCAGTCATTTTATTTATTAGAAAAATTGGAAATAACATCATTTCAAATTTTTCTCTATATATTTTTTTTAATATCTAAGATCATTCAAATAAAATATAATGCGTGAAATATGAACGAGAAGTTTTTTATTCACCCTCATACTTTTCGTAGTCGCTCGTCTTTGTAACATAATAGTAGTTTTTCTACTCCTATACTATTAAAGTTGTTAATTAAATGCTAATTTTCAGTTTCATAATGATACTCATTATAAAACTGGTTTTCATTATGAAACTGAAAAATTGACTAATAGAAATTTAGATTTTTAAATAACCAAGTAGACAGACCCAATATTTTATGTAGAATGTTTGACAGTTTCTAAGAGATTCGTGTTTTATGACAGTTTCAATCTTTTGCGTTAGTCAAAAAGGTAGATAGATACCTTTCACTTATTTTTAAAAAAATATCGAGCGACTAAGAGTTTTCATGCACACCACCTGAAATCGCTGAAAAGGCGAAAAATGTATCATAATACTCATTATATTGGTTATTGTGTAGGAATAAAAATTAAGTCGAAGAACTTATTTTTCTTTCATATTTTATTTCTTATTGTTTGTATAAAAAAGTATTAAAAAATTGAATTGAAATAGTTTCTTGGTCGTAGAAAAATTAGTGTATGCAACTCTCATGTAATGGCTATTAATACAATCGCTTGAGATTAACGACCTTATCTCAAGCTCGTGTAATAGCTATCATTACATGATCGTTGCATAATAAACTAATTTTAGTCGAATGTGTCATAAAACGTCGTTTTTCGGAGAGAAAACATAATCGAAAACTTACTAATAGTATATTAAGTAACAAGAGTTGTAGGTAGCCCATTACGCACGAAGCCCCGCAACGGCGAGTGCGTAATGGGATTACAACTCGTGTAACGTAATATACTTTTTCTACGCCCATTTAAAACATTCTCGGAAAAGGATTTAACGTTATACTTGTGTCACTTATCCATAAATGTTCGATAGGTAATTTCGTACCTTTCTTTGGATTTTAGCGGTAACAAGTTATGTGTGGCAGCTTGAGCTCTTTCTAAAATCTCCGGTGGAGTGCTCATAATTTCATCACTTTCACTACTAACAAACATATTCGTATGTAAAGTTGAGAAAATATTCGGATACAATAATATTTTGTTACAAAAATTAACAATGTAAATGACATGACGTTTATTTCCATAGAATGCTAAGAAAACGCGACATATTTTTTGAAAAATTGTATGATGTGTTGCCAACATATAGGAGCATCACTTTTTTAATCCAAACTTTATCTCGCTAATGCTAAAAGTTTTTGTATTTTTTAATTAACTAAATTTATGTAAATAGACCATTTAAAGTCGTACGTAAACAAAAATTTGATTGTAATTTGATTAAACCAAGAAATTTAAGTTTTCTTATCAAAACGCACGTGTATATTATAAGATCTCATTACGTGCATGTTATTGTTTAATGTCATTTACAAGGAATGTTGACAATGCGATTTTTAACGTTTACTGACAAGGGCGTAGAAAAAAATAATTACCTAATAAACTGAAGAAGGGTATCCAACTGCTCAAATTTGGTCATCTTGAAGATAATATTGAGATTGATTTAGAATTTTTCTTATCTCCAGTTACCTAATTATTGATTCTGATAATCTGCCAGAGATCACAGAAATACCTGAAAAGGCTACAAAAGCCTCATTGTTACCCGAAAAATAAAAAAAAAATATTTACATGAAAGCCTATGAAGATTGTTTAGATTGGGCCAATAATACAAATAAATATGAAAAGGGTTTTATTGCCTACTTACCTGAAAAATCCAGTACTTGTAAACCATCATCTTTGAGGCCAACTTAATGTTAAAAACCATTATTTTATTTTTTAAAAGGCAGTCAGAAAAATATAAACGAATAAAAACCGAAGTACTTATACACGAACAAGTTTATTAATGCTCCGGATGATAAATTACTGATGTACTTTTGGGCACCAGTTGCGGTTTTTGCTACTCGTGTTCAAAAGCATATCTTCACAGACTTGTACCCCAAATAACTAGTTTATTTTTTATCATTTTTTTTAGAATTTGAAGGAATTGTAATTTATAATATTAAAATATTTGTGTAAAAATTACAACATCCTAAAATTTTTAGGTAATGATGAACAAAACGTTATTCTTTGGTTAGATCACAGAGCAGTGATAGAGGCTCAAGAAATAAATAGTACCAAACATTCTGTATTGCAATTTATTGGGGGACATATATCGCCAGAACACGAAATTCCCAAACTAAGGTGGCTGAAAAAAAATTTAACAAAAAATTGCTGGGAGAGAGCAGGCTATTTTTTTGATTTACCGGATTTTTTGACTTGGAGAGCAACCGACGATGATTCTAGGTAACTGTTTCATTTTCCAAAATAAATAAAATTTATATATAACACGTAATACATAAAACATATTTTTTCTTCGCCCACATTCTCATTTCCGATCGATTTTAGCGCGAGACAATCCCATGTGGTGAAAAATTGCTGCCACAAATTCGCGCTAAGACAAATACAACCCTGAACTCTCCACCAGAGGAAAGCTACACCATCCTGCCGACCAAATCAAAAATCTGATGTGTCCAACACATCCGTTAAAAACTCTAGGGTGAAACAAATCATAATTCCTATACTTTCCTTATCTGTATACAGACAGGAAAGTAAAAATGATACTGTCATGCGATGTTTCACAGCAGTACAACGCGTATTACGTAGTATTTGGAGACAATCGAAAATTGAATGTTGAAGAATTTATAGTTTCTTTCTCTAAATTTATCGTTGTAGGTAATTTAATCCTAAAAAATGTTAATAAAATTTAGATTGCTGATTATACTTGGTCGGTTTGATAACAAGTGCAAATTAAAATATCATTTTGACACTATAATCAGTCGCTAATTTGGCTCACAATTAAATTGCAATTTTCTCTTATACGATAATTTAGCTCGCTATTCTTTGACCAGGCGCTAAAAATTTAAAGAAAAGTTAACAATGCACTTCTTATATATTTGCTTCTTAGGTCTGTATGTTCCTTGGTTTGTAAATGGACTTTCGACATGAAAATAGACGGTTCAAAGGTGAAGGGCACTGAAGGTTGGAACAAATCCTTTTTCGAACAAGTAGGATTATTAGACTTATCCCAAAACGATTGGAAAAAGATTGGTTCCAAAATTTTGGTACCTGGCTGTTCAGCTGGCACTGGACTTTCCATAAGGACGGCTAAAGAGTTCGGTCTTAATCCTGGAACACCCGTTGGTACTTCAATTATAGACTGTTACGCTGGTGGATTAGGATTAATTGGATGTAATGTTGAAGGAATTGACCCAGATTTTCAAACGAGACTCAGTAAATATTTATTTATTTTTAATGCTATTAATACACTAAATTTATTGTTCTTTAGGTTTGATATGTGGTACTTCAACATGTCACATAGCAGTTTCTGATACTCCAGTTATTACTCCTGGTATGTTTGGACCGTATAAACATGCTATGATCCCCGGTATGTGGTTAAATGAGGGTGGACAAAGTGTCACTGGAAAGCTGGTAAATCACATGATCGAGACCCACCCTGCCACACCAGAGATATTAAAGCAAATTGGAAAGAGGCAAGTGAACATCATATCACTTTTTATATAGAAAACGAAACCTTAGAGGTTGTAACGGCTGTGTGTATGTACCACATATGCAAAACATTCACATATTTATATACATTTGTTTATGTATCGGGTGTCCAAATAAGAAAGAACGCCCGGCCATATCTAAGAAACTGTTTATCGTACGAAAGTTCTTTATTATGAACCCTCAGATATTTGTTTATTAAATAAATTTTTTCTATCGCACGTTTAAGGTTATGTAAATAAAAAAAAATAATTATAAAACAATTTATTATTGCAAAATAAATGACTATTGAAATAGAATAGAACATAATAGATTTTTATTAAAAGGAAGATTTACCGTCTACAAAATAAGCTTACTTCCATGAAATAAATAAATACTTTTGAATTTTCTAATTGTAGGCCCATCCAGGATTACTTGAATGAGTTGATATGTAAGATGTCAGATCGTGGACAGGATATAGCTCTTCTATCTTCTGATTTTCACGTATGGCCAGATTTTCATGGAAATCGGTCACCAATTACTGACCCAACATTAAAAGGAATGGTAAAAGGCTTAAACATTTTTATCCGTATTAACAAAACAATTTTTAAATAGTAAAATTAAAATAAATGATGTAATGTTTAATCAAATCATTAACAAATTAAATATTCAAGGATAATTAGGCATTCCAACGACCTGTCAAACAATACCTACCAGTGGGAAGGTCTCGTATATCTAAGAGGGTAGTCTTGCATTTTCGAAATATCAGTCGCCAAGTCTGCCAATTTTTAAAAAATACATTCAAGTAGTTTTTTTTTTGAAAAAATATTTGTATTGTGTTCGATATAAAATATTTAAATGTAATCCAGTATTCATGATTTTACGTATTATAGATAACGTATGTCGCAACCGTTAGATATACCAAACCTTCCATGATTCAAATAATTAAATAATAAAACTCCAGCTTCGGTGTAAAATGAAACAATTTTTTAATATTTATTTCATTGGAAAAGAGGATTAGCCATTTCACTAATGTGGTATCATCGGTAAAGGAGAAAGGAAACTGATAGTTTTTATGACAGGTGATAATAATATTTTCAACCAATACAAATCATAGGGATTAGATTGGGTATTACCTGTGCCTATACAACGGGTAATAGAAAGACTGATGACTGGTGACTGGCCCCATACAGGGCAATAAATAATTTCAACGGAAGACATATTGCAGTTGCAAGGTCATTGCAAGAACTTTGCGCCATCTATCAGTTTATACAGCAAGTAACAGAAACAGGATTTAATTTCAAAGTAAATTATAAAAAAATATCTTTCGGTAATCTATCTACGGCGTTAGTATAGATACATTTCTTCTTTTTTTTCTTGTCTTCTTCTTTAACTGTATGGGCTCAGTTTTTCACTAGGACTATCTGAGGACTACCTAGCTTGCCAGAAGCGCGTGTTAGGACTCTTATGCCCAATTCCACCGCTAGTAGTTATTAAATAAAACAGGTTTAAAATGACATTTTTACATTAACGGTGTCATTTTAATCTTCGCTTAGTAATTTAAACTTTTATACAACTGTGAAATCGTCCCTTATGGCTGATTTTTGTAAAATAAAAACTTTCTAAAAAATGAAACACTGGCACTGAATAAATATTGAAAAAATGAATCCTTACAACAATAGAAGAACAAATTTATGCTGACGCCGTAACCTTAGATAGATTGTCAAAACGACAAATTTAGAGTTTCCTTTAAAATAAAGTCCTGCTTCTATTATTTGCTCCAATGCTATTTGACCAGAGACGTAACATGTTGGAAATAAAACATTTATGTTATTAGTACTTTATTGATTTTCTAGATATAAAGCAAGTTCAAAGCGTAAAAATTAAAATAAATAAGGAACAATAAATAAGACCCAAGAAAAATATGTATACATGGTGTGTCACGCTCAACGGGACGGAGCCTGGTGGGTAAACTTCAAACGATATTAAAAATTCCTTAGGTACAAATATACAACTCAACGGCGGCTATAAATTAAAATTAGTTTCATATATACCTACAGGGTATCCCAATCCAGAATCCCAATATAAAGTTATATTTTTTTAAATGGGACACCATATATATTTTCTTTTATTAGGTTTTACTCCTAAAAATAATTTTAATTTAATTAAGATTTTCTGTTCCCATCTTTGATAATTGCCGATTTATTTGACATTTTTTTAAAATATAGTGCTCTCGTAATAAATTAACTACTCTTCAAATTACAAAATTACAAAATAATTAATTAACGAATTTTTGGCAGTTCCTGACAAAATGTACTTTTTTTATCAGAATCATTAAAATATTCCAAAAATATACGGGGTGCTTGTGCAATTTGAAGTTTTATTTAATTACTGCGTTATTTTAAATGGAACACCCTGTATTTTATGATACCAATATTAAGGAAATTTTATTTACGTTAAAAGTTCTATAAGTTTCTTTATACCCAATACCCATATCTCCTGTTTTAAAAACTATTTTTTTTTTGTGTCATCGGCTTCAACTGCTAAGGTTATTTCGCCTCGTGTTCTGTGTAGGCTTTGTTACTGTTTCCCAGCGCCACTTTAGGAACAGTACTGTTAATTAGAACCCAATCAATAGTTTCAATGAATCAGCAAACAAACATCTACAAAATAGTTTTATTTTAACAAAGCTATTTAATAAACATATTTATTCTAAAATTTGTCAGTAAATTTTAAATTTACAATAAATGTTCAAAATTATGTACATTATTATCAATGCATATTCTGATTCGCTTCTCAAAATTATTTTTTACATTACTTAAAATCTCTAAATTAATAATAGTAAACACATTACAAATGCGTGTTTTCATATCTTCTGCGGCGTTCGGCTGAGTTCGATAAACTACATTTTTAGTAGAGTGATCTAGGGGGGAAATTAGTAGGGCCTATTCTTCCTATATATTTTTCAGGAAATGTTTCTTTTAAATATGTTCTGACATGCGAAGAATGGACGGGAACACCATCTAGCCACATTTTTCGTCTAATATACAAAGGAATGTCCTCTAGAAGGTTCCAGAAATCTTTCTTAAAAAATTTTAAAACATTTTTTAAAAAAGTATGGCCCCACCAACTATCTCTTTGTAATTCCACCATAAATGTTCAACGACCATCGGTGTTGTCGATCTATAGTTCGAAATACATGTTTATTTTCGGTGCTGTAATAATGAAAATTATATCTATTCACAAATCCGTTATTATGGAAAGTTGATTCATCAGTAAATAGTATTTGATAAAAGTTAATATTGCTTAAAAATTATTGAAAAGTATTAAATAAACAAACTTGGCAGGTAACATTTATTACTCTGGAGTGAGTACAATATATAAATATCAAGCCTTATAATAACGAAATAAAACAAAAAATACAAGAAAATATATAAAGTATAAATGATTGATGTTTATTATTTACCTATGAAACGGTATATCTGATATACAATAAACCATTGTAACAAACTGATTATCAAATATCGTTTAATTCAAAAATCCCAAATAAACACGAGTAAAATGCTTTAGTGTCGCCGAAACGCTTAACACCAAAATAATGGCGGGTAATCGATAGACGGCACAGAATACTACGAGTGCTTGATACTATACTTATTACGCGTCCTCACTCTTTCCTTGCATATTTGCTATGTAAACTGATAGATGGTGAAAGCTCTAGCAATGACCTTGCAACGGCAATATGTCTTCCAAACATCTGTTATTTTAGCGCATATATATGTAGGAAACACCTGGAAACAAAGTAAAGTGGTTTTTTTATATAAGCATGCGTCCAACATATGCCTTGGAGAAGGCCTATACACCAATAACTCTGACGTCATTTCTATTGAACGGATTGGAAAAACTGATTGATCACAGCATATTCTTCAAACCACTCTGATAAAGAGGTAATTTCATGCAAAACAATATGCTTATCAATTAGGAAACAAAATGTTCCTGCTCTGCACCATCTTGTAACCAAGGTAGAGTGTGGACTCAACATGAAATAGTCCTAGGAACATTTATTGAGATAGACATACCTCCTTCGAATTAATTGTAGCTGCCGTTTGCAAACATGGAATAGAAAATACCATCTGCTGGTTGATAGAAAACATGTTAGTCGGCCGGCAAGTACAGGCACAAATGTTCAGGGAGAAGTCCTCTCTACTCTACTGTGGAACCTAGTGGCAGATGAACTGCTGATAACACTGTACCATCAAGGGCTGTATGCCCAAAGATATGCCGATGATCTTGTCCGAAGAAAACACCAAACCACACTATTTGAACTTATGCAAACGAGCTCTAAAAGACTGACTTACAAAAAGTGGTCAAACAAAAAATATCTCATTGCAGGGAGAAGAAGAGCATTTGGGAAAACATGGGGATTATTCTGTAATTTGTGAAAAATGATAATTAACATATGGGTGTATAAAACTACAAAAAAATTACATTAATTTTAAAGAAAAAGTGTGATTACATTATTGCTAAAATTATTCTCTAAATTTGTGCTGAATTTTTTTTAGGTATGTGGTCTTACTCTGGAAAAAAGTGCCAAAAATCTTGCCTTAATTTATCTTGCCACATTACAAGCCCTTTCAGTAAGTATTATGCAACCAATAAATTTACAATTTTGATTTTACTCAAAAAACTATTAATAGTAAAACTCTCATTTACACCGAAAAATGATTAAACTATATTTAGTATGACAGCTAAAAGGTTTTAAAAATGTAGTCTTATATTTTCTAAACATAGTTAAAAAATCTGTAGGTCCAATTACCAAATTTTTCTGTTAATATCATTTGACAAACGAAAAAGTACAAGCAAAAGCTCGCAATCGAGTGAATACGACTAGGAAAACAAGTTGATATGTATAGAAAAGAAACACTAGCAGGAAAGGTTAATACAAGCAATGATGTGTATAACCAGGTATTGCCGTATGGCCGAGCATCAATGATTTTTAATCCAATGATTTAGATTATCGACAATTCTCTGTCTATGTCAACATGGATGCCAATTTTTCTTATTATTTTGTAATTTTTTTTAATTTATTCAATCCTCTAAGTTTGCATGCATTTAATTTCTGTATGCTAAGGATTAATACCAAAATTATTATATATACCATCTAGAAGAAAAAATAAAAGAAATATTATCCTACTACATATAAGAAAAAGTATTATGACGAAGTCACTAAATTTTTTTTTAGTTTAATTATAAAAATGTTTAGTTCAAGTTAATTTCTGTCTGTTAGCGTCCAGTTTTGAACACCGGTGTGAAGTTAGCAGTAACTTTCAGCAGTAAAAATAACCGAAAACACCCGATCGGGAAAACAGTGGCGTCCGGCATACAACTATTTTATTCATCTTGACAATATGTATTTTACACATTAATATCGACACTGTAAGCAAAAATCCCTTCCGACTCGTCAAACAGGGTGCAATTAACCCTTAAATTTTAAAATAAATAATAACCCAATGAAGACGATCAGATCCCAACTTGGTTTTAAATTAAAAAAAAACATAAATACACTCATCAAAGTACACTGTATGCTAAAATCCCTTCCGACCCGTCATACAGGGTGAAATTGACCCTTAAACTTTAAAATAAATAATTACCCTATGAAGACGAATTAATCCTAACTTGATTTTAAAATTAAAAAAATACAAATATACTCGTCAACGTACACTGTAAGCGAAAATCCCTTCCGACCTGTCAAACAGGGTGAAATTAACCCTTAAACTTAAAATAAATATTTACCATATGAAGACGATTAAATCCCAACTTGATTTTGAAATAAAAAACATAAATACACTTGTCAAAGTACACTGTAAGCTAAAATCCCTTCCGACCCGTCAAACAGGGTGAAATTAACCCTTAAACTCTAAAATAAATATTAACCCAATGAAGACGATCAGATCCCAACTTGGTTTTAAATTAAAAAAACATAAATACACTCATCAAAGTACACTGTATGCTAAAATCCCTTCTGACCCGTCAAACAGGGTGAAATTAACCATTAAACTTTAAAATAAATAATTACCCTATGAAGACGATTAAATCCCAACTGGATTTTAAATTTAAAAAGACATAAATACACTAACAGAAGTATACTGTAAGCAAAAATTTCTTCCGACCCGACAAACAGGGTGAAATTAGCCCTTTAACTTCTAAATAAATAATTACCAAATGAACACGATCAGATCCCAATTTGGTTTTACATTAAAAAAAAAACATAAATACACTCATAAAAGTACACTGTAAGCAAAAATCCCTTCCGACCGTCAAACAGGGTAACCCCTAAATTTTAAAATAAATAATAACCCAATGAAGACGATCAAATCCCAACTTGGTTTTAAATTAAAAAAAAAAAACATTAATTCACTCATCAAAGTACACTATGCTAAAATCCTTTTGACCCGTCAAACAGAGTGAAATTAACCCTTAAACTCTAAAATAAATAATTACCCAATGAAGACGATCAGATCCCAACTTCGTTTTACATTAAAAAAAAACATAAATACACTCATCAACACTGTATGCTAAAATCCCTTCCGACCCGTCAAACAGGGTGAAATTAACCCTTAAACTTTAAAATAAATAATTACCCTATGAAGACGATTAAATCCCAACTGGATTTTTAATTTAAAAAAACATAAATACACTTATCAAAGTACACTGTAAGCAAAAATTTAATCCGAGCCGTCACACAGGGTGAAATTAACCCTTATACTCCTAAATAAATAATTACCCAATGAACACGATCAGATCTCAACTTGGTTTTTACATTAAAAAAAAAACATAAATACACTCATCAAAGTACACTGTAAGCGAAAATCCCTTCCGACCCGTCAAACAGGGTGAAATTAACCCTTAAACTTTAAAATAAATATTTACCCTATGAAAACGATTAAATCCCAACTTGATTTTGAAATTAAAAAAACCTAAATACACTTGTCAAAGTATACTGTAAGCTAAAATCCCTTCCGACCCGTCAACCAGGGTGAAATTAACCATTAAACTTTAAAATAAATAATTACCCTATGAAGACGATTAAATCCCAACTGGATTTTAAATTTAAAAAGACATAAATACACTAACAGAAGTACACTGTAAGCAAAAATTTCTTCCGACCCGTCACACAGGGTAAAATTAACCCTTAAACTCTAAAATAAATAATTATCCAATGAAGACGATCAGATCCCAACTTCGTTTTACATTAAAAAAAACATAAATACACTCATCAACACTGTATGCTAAAATCCCTTCCGACCCGTCAAACAGGGTGAAATTAACCCTTAAACTTTAAAATAAATAATTACCCTATGAAGACGATTAAATCCCAACTGGATTTTTAATTTAAAAAAACATAAATACACTTATCAAAGTACACTGTAAGCAAAAATTCCATCCGACCCGTCACACAGGGTGAAATTAACCCTTAAACTTCTAAATAAATAATTACCCAATGAACACGATCAGATGTCAACTTGGTTTTACATTAAAAAAAAACATAAATACACTCATCAAAGTACACTGTAAGCGAAAATGCCTTCCGACCCGTCAAACAGGGTGAAATTAACCCTTAAACTTTAAAATAAATAATTACCCTATGAAAACGATTAAATCCCAACTTGATTTTGAAATTAAAAAACCTAAATACACTTGTCAAAGTACGCTGTAAGATAAAATCCCTTCCGACCTGTCAAACGGTGAATTTAACCCTTAAACTTTAAAATAAATAATTACCCAATGAAGACGATCAGATCCCAACCTGGTTTTACATTAAAAAAAAAACATAAATACACTTATCAAAGTACAATGTAAGCAAAAATTCCTTCCGACCCTTCAAAAAGGGTTAAATTAACCCTTAAACTTCAAAATAAATAATTACCCAATGAACACGATCAGATCCCAACTTGGTTTTACATTCTAAAAAACATAAATACACTCATCAAAGTACACTGTATCCTAAAATCCCTTCCGACCCGTCAAACAGGGTGAAACTGTTCCGAGGCTTATGTGCCTCGTAGCGCCATCCTGCTGTAAATAAAAATTGTCTAAATCCATATTGTCCAATATAGGACAAAAAAGTCAGTTAACATTGTAGGGTAGCGATCCGCATTGACTGTAATCGCAGCATCTTTATCATTCTCGAAAAAATATGTCAGATGATACCGTTGACCCGAAAACCGCACCAAACAGTATGTCGTTGGAGATAAAGAGATTTCTCGACTATGTAGATTTGAGAATGTTATGGTGGGCAAATTTGAAAGAGCTGAATTATTCGAATATATATTTTTTAAAGGACTAAAATTACTATTAAACTTGTAATTCATATTTTATGCATTCATAAATTTGGATGGTGACAAAAAGTCTGATTATAATTGATTTTTAGTTTGTAAATCGTAATTGGAAAACATAACGTAACTTTTTTATCCAAGACCCTTTTTATTATTATATATTAAAATAGAAACATGATATTCCAATAAAAAAATCTCCAACTGGGACGGATTTAAAATTAACAAAATTAATTGAAATAAAAAAAATATTTCAAAATAGAAAATTTCAGCACTTTGGGTTTGGATTTTCTTTTCTTCTGCTTCATTTGCTCTCCCGCTCTATCTATATAGAGTGAAGAGGAAATGAGGACAATTTCATATGGTTTTTTGCCTCAAAAAGTGTCCACCAAAAGCAGTAAATAAAGTTTCAGAAAGTGACCACCAGAATGGCGCTCGTGTACCTATTCTCCAGTTGAGAGAATAATAATTTCATTTCATGCGAACTTAACAGCCGTTCTCTTAAAAAGTGTGTAAGTGGTATTCTTGAATTGAAGTGAATGATCACTTCGCATGAAAATCGAGAGAACGTAGTCGAAACCAGTAGATGAGCATCATTTTGGGAGAACTGTCATTGTCGTGCGTTATCAAAACGTCATTTTTTTTATAGGCCTTTTTATCACAATTTTTTTTTGTGCGCATGCGTCAATATCGGCCATCTTTTTCGTACTGTTTTTTGTAAACAAGCATGTTATAAAATGTCTAAGTATGTACGTAAAAAAATTATAATCGATAAATATTAATTTAAGTATATTCACTTTAAAAAAAGGAAAAAAAAAAGTAATGTAATAATTTCCTTAATTGAAAAATAAATGTGTTTGCAATTAATTATGTTATCTGTACGGAAAGGAAAAACGAAATGGTATTTTTATGCATATTATGTAAAAGTAACACACGGTATAAATCATTTAATACATTATTATTTTATAAATATTCTAAAGACTTGCCTGCAATATCGTAAAAAAAAAACTATCAAATCATTATGCAAAATACATTAAAATATGTTCAAAATGAGCAAAATTGATGAAAAAATGTGGTCGAAGTGACGTAGGTTTTCGATCGATTGATGATGTTACTAAAGATATTTATATTTGTTCACTACATTTTCATGAAGAAAGTGGTTCAACAGAAGAAAATCCTTATCTGGTATTACACAATATTTTTTTAATAAAAAATATTACTTCGGTATACACAGTAATATTATTAGAAATGTCATGTTGATCCTTAAAATATTAAATAATTTATCTCATTAATTGATTAACTTTCATGTTAAAGTGTTTTTGCATTTACTAATAGTTGGTTAGCATAATTAATTAGAATAGAGTTATAATCATTATAAGTTTTCATTAATTTTTTACACGGTAAGTAAACAAGTATTGAAACCTAACCTTTCATTCAGTACAGTCAGCACACTTTTTTTCTTGTTCCGAACGTCTACGACACTTCAAGAACCTTTTCAATTGCTCACAGCTATGTGCTTCCACAGAGTTATAAAAATGTAAATCACCATACGATTTTTTCTAATAATTGATTTGTATGTAGAGATAATATTGCTGTTCCAGCCATTGTTGATCAAAACAGTACGAAACATTTGAATTGGCGCTATTTCAACATGGCGGCTGCGCTTGCGCTCTTCACATGATGAAAAGGTCTATTAAAATGGATTTGGACGTAATCAAAGTATGTGGCTTGATCTATTTTCTTAGAAAGGTGACAAGTGCCATTCGCCATGTGTTCTGTGTTTGCTATTCTACTGTCAGTCGACAATAATACAGGTTTCAGTCTTGTTGTTTGTTGTTCGTTGTTTGTTGTTTTTAAAATTATGAATGACCTTAATTTAAAAACTCGTAAAAGCAATGGTAGTGAACTTTTGAGTGAAGGACAGAATATTGTGAAAACAAGGACAACCCTTCCATGGAACGAGGTTAATGTCTTAAGAAAAGGGAACACTCTGAATGACTCAAGAAAAGCCGAACTACATGTACTTTCGCCAGAAAACAAAATTTCTGAAAACAAAAAAGTTTGATTTTTATGATACCTTATCTAACAAATCCATTGCACAATTTTTTTTACAAAAACCTACCAGAAATAAAAGAAGTGGCTTAAACTGATGCTGGAAGCAGCAGAACAGTAAAATATGGCGCTTTTTTAGTGTTTTCAGATTAATAATTTTGTGTTGGCACTTATCACGTTTCTATTTTTTTTTTAGAAATTTCATTATTTTTTCGATATCTTTTATATACTTAACTGGTTTTTTGTTATATATACTGATTTTTCGTATTGTTCTTGAGCTAAATTTGGAACAACAAAATTGGAACAAATAAAGAATAAATAAATTATTTGGTTGTTTTATTATTTTTTTTCTTAATTATTTCAAAATATAAATTTTGGCACTTGTCACCTCTGTTACTTTCATTCTTTATATTTAAAAAAATTATGATTATCTGCCTGCATTTCTAGCACCCAAACGAAAGTTGTTCATGATCCGCTGCCAACCGGTCAATTTATGTGTATAAAGTGGGAGAACTGGCAAAAGCATTTCCAACTTTTACTTCTGTTCTAGCATGATTCAATTCCTATGCCAGCTGCAGTTTATAAGGATATATGCTAATATTTTTATGCTGAATGGAACAATAAATCCTGGCTCTTGAATCTTGATGAGCCAATCATAGCTGGCTACCTAGTGAACAACTTTTGCTCAGATATCATGATGTGTCATAATCCGAATTTTGAGAAAATTATTTCATCTGCATAGCTACATCTAATATATTTTTTATTTGCAGTATGGTACTCGTTACATCATAGAACGTTTGAGACATAGTGGACATCACGAATTGAAAACAATATTGATATGGGGCGGTCTTGGTAAAAATAAACTTTTTTTAAAATCCCTGGCAGACGCTTGTAATATGCCCGTAATTATACCACATGAATCAGAGTGTGTCCTTTTGGGCGCTTCTATCCTGGGAGCAAGTGCATCTGGCATCTTCCCTGACCTAACGACCACCTTACAGAATATGGCGGGTACTGGATCTGTGACGTTTCCCAATTCAGAAATTACCAAGTATCACGAGAAAAAATACAGGGTATTCATTAAAATGTACGAAGATCAAGTGTCCTATAGAAATATAATGAATTGAAAATGTTTTTTTTAAAGTACCTACCTACACACATGAAATGTTTTGCTACAGCCTTTGCACATTAAAACCATTTTTGGATACAAAGTGAATTGTTTATTGTACGTATATTTTCTAAAATATTTTTGGAGTCCTGCGACACATTTATAGAAACATCACTCTGTCAACCTAGATATTAATGAATTAGAAAAATCTGTAACTAGTATGATTCGCTCACAAATTCCTCACATTACTGTAATTTTTAAACTTTTTACTATTTTATTTCTAGAATCAACATATTCGTTTGCACATTTACAAAATTTTCAATAGAAGAGATTCTTACTAACTACAAAAATCATTAGTTTCCCACCGTTTTCAAATTTTTGTGCTTCAAAACTAGAGAAGTTTCTCATCGAGGCACACCATTGTCTTTTATGATACTATAAAAATAGGGTATGATGATATTACGCCGATTAATATTACGTCACGGTGTGAAGTATTGTGGTGCTGACAGGGCCGCCGAGAGCCAGGCCGGGCCCCAGGACAATTCTCTAGATCGGGCCCCGTGACAAAAAAAGCTCCTCAAACAAAAACTTTTCCTCTTCTACTTGAATTGAATTTTCTTAAAAAAGAAGGTCCTCGCACTAAAACTTTTCCTCCTCTACTTAAATTGAGTTTTCTAAAAAAAAAAACCTCCCCAACCAAAAACGTGGCTTTTACGAATTTGAGGTACTATATGGAGTGTAGAGATAAGGAAAACTATATCTGTTTACAAAAACTGTACATTAAAATATATGAAATTAAGATGGGTTTGAAAGTTATGACAGTTGATAATTCAGACTACACAATCACACCAATGATGCCTATAATAATAATATTACTCGCCCTAATTCACCCCCTTACTTGTGAATTTTAACCCTTGAAGCCGACTGAGCTTGTGTGGGGAAAGGGATGGCTTTTATTATTATTTGCCGTTGCGCTCCGGGGCGATTTAAAGATGATTAATGGTGCCATTTGACTTATAGGTAAGGAGAACGCGGGAAACCTCACCCACCATCATCGAAACGGTAACGCATGGTGATTTATAATCTGGAAATTAAAATTCTGCTAATATGGCACACATCAAATCCTATAGCGAACCATGCAATTTAATTAAAAATTCACATGGTCTGCAGTAGGATTCGAAGCAGCTTTGACTCTCAATTACAAACCTATAAATAAATATAAACGAGTAAGACAACTACGTTACCGACACGATCATACAGGGTGTTTCAAAAAGGTATGTCATAAATTCTTCCTCAGATAGATTACCAAAAAATAAGTGGATTTGGCTATATTTACCTATATCAAAAACTGGCTCCCAACAAACGATTTTTTCTTTGAATTTTTTGCCAGTGCTGTAGATTTTAAAGCCCAATATTTTAAGGAGAAAAAAATGACAGCCACCCCCTTAAAAAAGTTGGGGGGTTGGGTACCTTTTAACCCCCCGTATTTTTTTTTGATATAAAGAAACTTGCTTCATCGATCTTAAAATCAAAAAGAACTATGAATTTTTAAATTTTTTTTATAGCGAAACCAAATTTGTATCTTTGTTAACGAGCTATTTACAATTTTTTAACTGAATTTCTAGAGCAATTCGTCCATCCTGGACTTAACATATTAACAAAACTAAGAGTAGGTCAGGAGTTATATAAAAATCAGTGGTGTGTTGTAATAATTGGCATTATTATTATTTGAAAAATATAAAGAATTTACCAAAAATTCTAAATAAGTATTTTAATGTTTTAAATTAAAAAGAAAGACACATATGAAATAAAATAAACAATCTGGTCATTAATCTAATAAATGACTACATTGAGCGTGACATTTTTAAAAAATACAACCATCACGTAAATTTTGGTTTATATAGAGAGGAGACAAAAAGAAAGGTCTCTTGGGTAAACTCTCAGTCGAGTTCGGACTAAGGCCCAGAACTTTCGCCCAAGGGGCGAAAGCTCCCGTGTTTTTTGGGACTTTTTAATTCCCAAAACAATGTGATATGTAAAGTTTTGTGTACGATTTGTAAATTATGAGTAAATATTTTTAACTTAATTTTAAAGTGTTTTGTTTAATAATAAATGATTGATTTACATATAAATGCCAATTCTACATTTTCGTCCCGAATTATCATATTAGTCTTATGCATTTTTTTATATTATTATGTAGTTATAGTGCTTTATTCCCTAAATGGAATTTTATTTATCTTTTCTTAAGACTATTAGTCAAATTTTATACTTATTGTTAATATACATTTGTTAATGTTTTAATACTTATTATTAATCTCTCCTCCCTTTCCAAACCAGTAAAATATGGTCCATTTTAGGAAAATTTTGTATAGAACAAAAATTATAGATAATAATATAAGAATAAAAATTTTCTTCTCCAAACGTAAATAACAGATATATTCCATAAAATATAAAAATGACCATCTATAAAGTACCTCCCCAGATGTTCCGACTCTGCTCAAAGTCTAATCAGTTCATTGGACGCTGGAACAAAGCGTAAGTTTAAAATTTGGTGTTTTTCTGTGTATCGGTTCATGAGTTATCCGACACACACACATACACACACACACACACACACACACACACACACACACAAACACACAAACACACACACACACACACCACACACACACCACACACATACCACACATATCACACACACACACACACCCCACACACACACGCACGCCCGCACGCACGCACGCACGCACCTACGTACGCACCTATACACACACACACACACACACACACACACACACACACACACACACACACACACACACACACACACACACACACACACACACACACACACACACACACACACACACACACACACACACACACACACACACACACACACACACACACACACACACACACACACACACACACACACACACACACACACACACACACACACACACACACACACACACACACACACACACACACACACACACACACACACACACACACACACACACACACACACACACACACACACACACACACACACACACACACACACACACACACACACACACACACACACACACACACACACACACACACACACACACACACACACACACACACACACACACACACACACACACACACACACACACACACACACACACACACACACACACACACACACACACACACACACACACACACACACACACACACACACACACACACACACACACACACACACACACACACACACACACACACACACACACACACACACACACACACACACACACACACAAATTATTTTAATTTATTAGAAATATGGCAACATTGGAAATGCGAAAAGTATCTAAGGAGACATAAATTACGTCATTTCCAGTTATAAAACGAATGTGTCTTAAAAATAAGCATTATATAACAATTTAGAAATATAATTGCTTTATTAGAAACAACTACACGATAGTTTAGTTACATAATTGTTTCCGAAACAACAAAACTGATTTATTGATTGACTTCATCTTGGATATGTTTATCAAACAGTAAATCTAATGTCTACCATGTTTTTATATGTAAACCATTTCAAAATTATTAATAAATGTTTACACTAGTTTGTTCAGATATCGAAAATAAGCAAATATTTTGTACAATAGACACAACATTATCAATATTTACTAATTTTGGTAAATTTTTGAAACACTAATTAAATTATTAAAGTAATTTTTTTAATAACAACTAATTAAATTCAGGGCCCGTGAAAATTTTCCCATAATTAGGCTTATATGTCAGTAAAATTTGTGTGACAGAAGAAATTACTGGATAAACAGTAAAAATAATATGCATATAGTTTATTGCATGAAAACTATCGCCATTATATATTTGTTTATTCTGAGCATCTTAAAAATCTGTTTTGTCTTTGTCACCACAATTTAATTTTAATTTACATAACTGTAAAACTAATTGTGTTGCATAAAATCTAAATGTTGCGAATAAATCAATTCTGTGTATTATAAAATAATTATAAGACTGTTAAACAACAATTTTATAAGTCGTTTCGAAATATTTTAATATGGTCGTAAGCCATATCTATAAAACAAATATATAATATCCATAAAACTATTATATAATAGTAGTTTCAGAAACAAACTTATTTTATAGGTATGTTTATAGTTTCAATAATATAACTTTACAAAAATTGTTATATAAAAATTTTATAACATACTCCAGAATGTTTTATACTTACTTTTATACCCCATAATAAAACTGTTAAGAATCACATTTATTTTATAAACCTGCGCCTTTTCCGTGTTTATAAGTGCCATATAAGCGTCTATAAAATGCTTTTAAAATATACAATTTTTATAACAAATTGTTATATAGTTGTTTATAAAACTCTTTTGAGCATTTTTTTGCTGCTTGGGATAGAATTGAGTAGGTACCCAGCTAGCACAAAAACATCCCATCTACGTTAATAAGCTGCAATTTTAGGCTCTTTAAGCTCGCATGCAATGTACCGTAAACGTAACCCTATTATCCCTGCAACTACCGAATGTCCGCAACTGCAAGACTTTTATAGCACATCTCGTAGAAGTTATAAAGTGAAGTTCGGAAAACATCACACTAGCACTTTTACGGTACTTACCCCGAAAGTTGCTCTGAAACGTTCTATTGATGTTATAATGTGAATTAGATCTACAGCATTATACAGTGTGTCCACGGATGGGCTTAACTATACTTGTGAAAATATTTATTTTAAATTAAAAAAGTAATTCTTCATAATTTCTTGCTTGTTAAATAAATTCGATTCACATTGAGAAATTATGAAAAATAACTTTTTCTTTAAAATAAATATTTTTACAAGTATAATTAAGTCCATCCATGGACACACATTGTGTAATGTAATACAGAGAGGCTGAAATTGAGGCTATAGTAAAATCTCAATCGAGACATGAAAATTTCAAATAAAACAAAATATTTATATAAATTTATTATTAAAATGTTCTTGAAATCAAGTACCAATAGCACAAAAGTAGAGGTAGGTGTAGGCGTGTTCTTTTATTCAGTGCTGTATCCAGCGCTTGCAGCAAACC